GAAAAGAGAGGGTGGGTGGGCGGGGCTAGTTTCTGCTAAGATAAGAGTGATTTTGGCAAATGAGATAACTTCTAAGAAAAGAGCGGGCGGGTGGGTGGGGCTAGTACATGTTAAGAGTGATTTTGGCAAATATTATATATATACATATATATATTTTTAGTTTCTTTTGATTTTTGGGAATTTTCGTAATTTGTAAAATTTTCAAAATTTACAGAATATTCAAATTTTCCAGATTAGCCCAATTTTTCATATTTTCCAAAGTACACAAAAAACAGAGTTTCCATTTTCCAAAATTTCTAAAATTATCAGGCTCCATTTATACCCTTGTACCACAATTTTGAAATGCAACCTTTTCCAATATTTTCAAGATTTCTAGGTCTACACATTTTCTACATTTTTTCAGATTTTTTTCTAAAATTCATAGATCTCGAGAGTCTAAATCTTTGGAATTTTTGGAATCTCTGGAATCTTTACAGTCTCCAAGATTTAAAAGATAATAATTAGGGTGTTCAAGGCCCGTAATACTTGTAGGATTTCTAAAAATTAAACGACGAATTCTTCAGATTTTTAGGATTTTTGTTTTGTTTAGTCTTTAGAGTCTTTAAAATTTTTGTCATGTTAAGAGTTCATGCGTTTTTTACATATTATATATTATTTAAAACAATCTTGAGCTTCTAGATATTTTTGTTTGGAAATAATTTAATTATATTTCTTAAAGGATAACTCATTTGCCAAAATTAGTCTTACATTATCAAATACTAGCCCCGCCCACCCACCCTCTCTTTTCTTAGAGAGTATGTCATCTGCCAAAATCAGCCTTATCCTAACAGGTACTAGCCCCGCCCACCCACCCTCTCTTCTCTTTGAGGATATCTCATTTGCCAAAATCAGTCTTATCTTGACAGCTACTAGCACCTGCTAACAAAAAACTGATTTTGGCAAATGAGATCTTTCTAAGAAAACAGAGGGGGTGGGCGGGGTTAGGACCTTCTAAGATAAGAGTGAATTTGGCAAATGAGATAATTTCTAAGAAAAGAGAGGGCGGGTGAGGCAAGTACCTATTAAGAGTGATTTTGGCAAATATTATATATATATTTTTCTAGTTTCTTTTGGTTTTTGGGGATTTTCGTAATTTGCAAAATTTTCAAAATTTCCAGAATATTCAATTTTTCCAGATTAGCCCAATTTTTCAGATTTTCTGAACTACACAAAATGACCAGAATTTCCATTTTCCAAAATTTCTAAAATTATCGCGTTCCAGTTATACCCTTACACCCCAATTTTGAAATTCAACCTTTTCCAATATTTTCAAGATTTCTAAGACTACCACATTTTTCCCACATTTTCTAAAGTTTTTCAGATTTTTTCTAAAATTTATAGATCTTGAAAGTCTAAATCTTTGGAATTTTTGGAATCTCTGGAATCTTTACAGTCTCAAGACCCTTAATACTTGTAGGATTTATAAAAATTAAAGGAAGAATTTTTCAGATTTTTACAGTTTTTAGGTTTTTAGGATTTTTGTATTGTTTAGTCTTTGGAGTCTTTAACATTTTTGTCATGTTAGAGTTTATGCATTTTTTACAAATTATATATTATTTGAAACAATCTTGAGATTCTAGGTATTTTTGTTTGGAAAGAACTTGAAAGTGCTTTGAAGCCTCTAGTGTCTTTTCTTATCTTATAATGATTTAATTAAATTTCTTAGAGGATACGTCTTTTGCTGAAATCAGTCGTCTTATCTTGCAGGTACTAGCCCCGCCCACCCAACCTCTTTTTTTCTTATGGAGTGGCTTCTGCCAAAATCGCTCTTATCTTAGCAGGAACTAGCCCCGCCCACCCACCCTCTCTTTTCTTAGAAGTTATTTCATTTGCCAAAATCACTCTTATTTTAGCAGGTCCTAGCCCCGCCCACTCACCCTCTCTTCTCTTAGAGAATATCTCATTTGCCAAAATCAGTCCTACTTTGACAGCTACTAGCACCTCCTAAGAAAAAACTGATTTAGGCAAATGAGATACACTCTAAGAAAAGAGAGGGCGGGTGGGTGGGGCTACTACCTGTTAAGAGTGATTTTGGCAAATATTATATATATTTTTTTAGTTTCTTTTGATTTTTTTGAATTTTCGTAATTTGGAAAATTTTTAAAATTTCCAGAATGCTCAGATTTTTCAGTTTAGCCCAATTTTTCAGATTTTCCGAAAAACACAAAAGGACCAGAATTTCCATTTTCCAAAATGTCTGAAAATTATCAGGCTCCAGTTATACCCTTATACCACAATTTTGAAATTCAACCTTTTCCAATATTTCCAAGATTTCTAGGTGTACCACATTTTTCCCACATTTTCTAAATTTTTTCAGATTTTTTTTTTAATTTATCGATCTCAAGAGATATAGATCTTTGGAATTTTTGGAATGTCTGGAATCTTTACAGTCTACAAGATTTAAAAGATAAAAATTGGGGTGTTGAAGACCCGTAATATTTGTAGGATTTATAAAAATTAAAGGAAGAATTCTTCAGATTTTTAGGATTTTTGTTTTGTTTAGTCTTTGGAGTCTTTTTTCTTCAAATTTTTGTCATGTTAAGAGTTCATGCGTTTTTTACAAATCATATACATATTATTTAAAACAATCTTGAGCTTCTAGGTATTTTTGTTTGGCAATAATTAATTTTCTTAGAGGATAACCCACTTGCCAAAATCAGTTTTATCTTAGCAGGTCCTAGCCCCGCCCACCCACCCTCTCTTTTCTTAGAAATTATCTCATTTGCCAAAATCACTCTTATCTTTGCAGTAACTAGCCCCGCCCACCCACCCTCTCTTCTCTTAGAGGATATCTCATTTGCCAAAAATCAGTCTTATCTTGACCTCTAGGAAAAGAGAGGGTGGGTGGGCGGGACTAGTGGGTGCTAAGATAAGAGTGATTTTGGCAAATGAGATAACTTCTAAGAAAAGAGCGGGCGGGTGGGTGGGGCTAGTACATGTTAAGAGTGATTTTGGCAAATATTATATATATATATTTTTAGTTTCTTTTGATTTTTGGGAATTTTCGTATTTTGTAAAATTTTCAAAATTTACAGAATATTCAAATTTTCCAGATTAGCCCAATTTTTCATCTTTTCCAAAGTACACAAAAAAAACAGAGTTTCCATTTTCCAAAATTTCTAAAATTATCAGGCTCCATTTATACCCTTGTACCACAATTTTGAAATGCAACCTTTTCCAATATTGTCAAGATTTCTAGGTCTACCACATTTTCTAAATTTTTTCAGATTTTTTTCTAAAATTAATAGATCTCGAGAGTCTAAATCTTTGGAATTTTTGGAATCTCTGGAATCTTTGCAGTCTCCAATATTTAAAAGATAATAATTAGGGTGTTCAAGACCCGTAATACTTGTAGGATTTCTAAAAATTAAAGGAAGAATTCTTCAATTTTTAGGATTTTTGTTTTGTTTAGTCTTTGGAGTCTTTAAAATTTTTGTCATGTTAAGATCTCATGCGTTTTTTACAAATTATATATTATTTAAAACAATCTTGAGCTTCCAGATATTTTGGTTAAGCAATAATTTAATTAATTTTCTTAAAGGATAACTCATTTGCCAAAATCAGTTTTCTGTTAGCAGGTCCTAGCCCCGCCCACCCACCCTCTCTTTTGTTAGAAGTTATCTCATTTGCCAAAATCACTCTTACCATAGCAAGAGCTAGCCCCGCCCACTCGCCCTCTATTTTCTTAGAGGGATCTCATTTGCCAAAATCAGCCTTATCTTGACAGCTACTAGCACCTGCTAAGATAAAACTGATTTTAGTAAATGAGTTATCCTTTAAGAAAAGAGAGGGAGGTGGGTGGGGCTAAGACCCGTTAAAAGTGATTTTGGCGAATATTATATATTTTTTTTATTTTCTTTTGATTTTCCAGATTAGCCCAATTTTTTTGATTTTCCGAAGTACACAAAATGACTTGAATTTCCACATTTTCTAAAATTTCAAAAATTGTCAGGGTGCAGTCAAACCGAAATTTTGAAATTCACTAAAATTTATAGGTCTCAGGAGTCTAAATCTTTGGATTTTTTGGAATCTCTGGAATCTTTACAGTCTCCAAGACTTAACAATAATCATTAGGATGTTCAAGGAATGCAGTGCTTTTAGGATTTATAAAAATTAAGGAAAGCATTTTTCCGCTCTTCACGATTTTTGTTTTCTTTGAAATCTTTGACATTTTAAGAGTTCACGCGATTTTTGGCAGTTTTAGAATCTTTGGGTTTTTGGAATACCTCTAGAATCTTTCAAGTATTCGAAACAGAATTTTAGTTTTTGACCCGTTAGATTCCTTAGAGTCTTTAGATCTTTTCCAATCTATGGAAATTTTGAACACTAGAATCTCTAGAGTGTAGAATCACTAGAATTTCTATAATCTTCAGAGCTATCAGATTTTCATATTTTTAGATACTTCAGTATCTCTAGAATTTTAAAATTTTTTAGATCTTTAGGATTTTTATCATCTTTCCAATTTTTAAATATTTGGAATCTGTGAAATCTTCAGAATTTTTGAAATCCCTGAAATCTCTAGAATTTTTAAACGGCCGGCTTCTTTAGCTTTTTTTAATTATTTGGAATTCCTGAAATCCTTGTAGTCCTTAGCCAAACTCACAACAATTGGTCCAGTAGTTTCAGAGATGGATACAGACACCAGACAAACAGACAGACGAAAATGGGCGACCACTTTTTTCGTACTCTAGAAGTCATGCCACGTCGAGAAAATATTAAAATGAAGTAAAAACGAAAAAACCGTTATTTTGTTTAAGTAATAACGCAAATAAATCCTAATAAGCGACTAAGTTCTGAAAAAACCACTCCAACTGCGTCAGCCTCCCAACGTCACTCCTTTTCGAAAACAACCAGATCGCCTGACTTCACTGAAAATAGTAAAACACCGATAAGAAAGGGTTATTTGTGTTCGGTGTGCGTTGATTTTGATAAGCTCTTTTATAAATATCGCCGGAGAAGAAGACACTCATCATTCGTTCAAGATCAGTGAGTGATAGTGATGTCTCGAAGAACCAGTGAAACGTACGCAGTGCCGCTCAAACCCTCCAACTTGGAGAAGAGCTGCGGCCAGATCTTCAGCAAAGGGCCAGCCCTCACCAGGGACATCTTCGAAAAAATGCAAAAGGACCGCAGACAAATCATGGGCTACGAAATCGAGACCAAGCAGCTGTGGCGTGAGTAAACTTTAACTCATTTTAACTAATTTTAACCAATTTTAACTAGCCTCCCCTACTGCCGCCATTACGACTAGCACGAGCGTCACGATTGGTCCATGTCGCAATGGCGGCTGCAGGGGTGGCGTGATCCATTTACTTATCGCAACGAATCGATTATTCTGCGAACGCTGTCTGCGTCAATATTTTTTTCACAATTGTTACTCCATCGCTATCTAATTTTCATTCAGAAAGTAGAAACGTTTTCCAAAGACCCGCGTCTAGACTGAAAGGTTATCTCCGTGTCAACCAAAACACAACCGAGCTTGTAATATCAAGCCTTATTAAGATATAAGTTCAAAAGTCGCCGTTTTTTGAAATCGATTAAACCTATATTTAGATAAAAATCCCGATAATTATAAAGTAACTAGTTTGACCTTCGCTGTCGCACTTACCTGCAATGTTTGTTATTAGTGTCCGCTGTTTATTTTACGAATCCCACCTTTTTTCAATTGTCTATTTATAATTAAAGTAAGATTTTCTGGAATTTCGCAGTCGTATGGCGAAATTCTCGAAATGTACAAAAAACCGGGATTTGTAGGTATAAGGGCTTGAATTTAGCCACTCTTGACTAAATTGTGTTTTTTAGTTCTGTCGGGGCTGCTTTTGTTGTTCATCTTGAGCACGACGGGGATGATTGCGATGTGGTTCACCGAAGCCTTCGACAATGTGGTTTTTTCGGTGAGTACCCCCACTCCAACATGGCGGCGAAGGGGAGGTTATAACCTCACTTTGTAGAATTTGGCGATTCGCCCCAACCAACAAAGCTTCAACATGTGGCAAAAACCCATCCCGAAGCCCCTGGCCAAGATTTACCTGTTCAACTACACGAACGTGCCCCAGTACGAAATCGGGAACGCCAAAAAGCTGCACGTCGAAGAATTAGGACCATACGTATACGAGTAAGCATGGCCTACTCTTTTCCACAATCACACTCACAAACTACAACTTTCCAGAGAAACTCTCGAACGGGTCAATATAAAAGTGAACGGTAGCCACCTCTCGTATCAGGAGCACCGCGTCTACAAATTCATGCCGGAATTATCCAAAGGGCGGAAACAAAACGACCGAGTAATCATCCCCAACATACCCTTATTTGTAAGTAGTCGGTTCGTTTGCCACCCTAGTCACACTCAAGTACGATTTTAGACCGCCGCCGCCCTCAATAAACACGCCCCTTTCCTAGCCCGAGTCGGTCTCTCCGGGCTACTCAACAGCTTGAACGCCCAACCCTTCCTGAGTCTACCAGCCGACAGGATCATCACCGGGTACGAAGATAACCTCTACGCCCTCGCGAAAAGCTACATGAAGCTACAAAACAAACACATGAAAGAGCGCTTCGGTCTCCTAGGCAACGTAAGTGACTTAACCCCTCCATTCCGACTTAACCAATCGCGTTACAGGCCATAGGCACCCGCGATGACGTCGTCACAATCAACAACGGCGAGACCGACATTAATCAAGTGGGAAGGTTTGAGCTAGTCAATGGTGAGTCAAACCTCAACCAATGGTCAACCGCCGAATGTAACGACTTTAGTTCGTCCACGGATGGCTCGATTTTTTCACCCAAATTAGTACGAAATAGGCGCCCTCTTCAGGTTTATTTGAAAGATATGTGTCGCCCTCTGACGTACGATTTCCAAAAGAAAGTGACAATACTCGATGGAAAAATCCCGGCTTATCGGTACGCCCTCTCGAATAAGGCGTTCGATAGTCCAGATAGGACCCCCTCGAATCAGTGCTATTGTGACTTGGACAACGCGTGCCCCCCTCAGGGGGTTTTCAACGCCACGTCGTGCTTCTTCGGGGCCCCACTTTTCATTTCCTACCCCCATTTTTATAACGCCGATCCGTCCCTAAAGCAGGCTGTGACAGGGTTAAAATCGTCACCGGAGTACGAAAGCTACATTGACTTGCACCCCACTTTGGGGTACACCATGTCAGGGAAAAATCGAATCCAAGTCAACGTCCAAGTCAATAAAGCCTTTGGGATCAGTCAAGTGCAGATGTTTGACGATGGGACCATCCTCCCGATCGCTTGGTTTGACTACTCCTTGGAAGACAAGACCCTTCCAGAAGACATGGTTGGGATCATTTTCCACTCCACTTTTACCCTACGGAGCGTGGAAATGGGGTTGAAATATGGGTGCCTACTCACCATGGGGGTGACCCTATTTTGTATTTTATTGGTCCTGAAGAACCGCTGGACCAGAAGGGTTAGGACGAGTAGCATAAGGCCGCTACGAACCGAAGAAGAACGGGTCTAACCCACAATATTAACCATTTTTCTGTGAAAAATGACCAAACTCCGTCCAAAATTTGGACAACTACGTCATAGTTGAACCAAGACTGAATTTCCACCATAATTTTTATATTAATATATATATATTTATAAATAAATAAAGCGTGTTATTTTATTAAAAAATCAAACCACTGAAGCAATGACATCACTAATTCAACTTTATTAACCCATTGGCACGTAAAAAAAATCACAATTTATAAAAGATAAAAAACTAACCTCTAAAAACTGGAATGATAAGCAGATAAAAACTTAACCTAAGTGTGCTTAAAATTTGTTCATTATAAAATACAAGCATCAAGCTTAACAGTACTTAAAAACTTATCTTAGGAATTCATTGAGCCGAATAAATAAAACTCCAATACTTTTCTATCACTCGATAATCACATCAATATGGCAATCTACCTACGTACTACATACGTACCGGCTTACAGCTCCGTGGTCATATGATTGGTCAAAGCTTGGACCCGCTTCGCGTTGCAGCTCTTGCACAGGACGTGCCCGTCGAGGGGGTAGCAGCCCCTGCCCTCGGCCTCCGAAGACAGCACCAGGCCGCAGTCCTAAGCAACAAAATTTAAAAAAAAATGTGTTGTTAAAATATCGATTACTTACTTCGCACTTGTAGCACTGGATGTGGAAGCTGTGGTCGAGGGCCACCACGCGGACGGTTTCCTCCTCGCCGGGCTCCGGCATGATGGGCTGTTTGCACACCCAGCACCTGGGGGCGAAGATCTTGTGGAAGTCTTCGATGCAGTGGACGCGGTTGGTGGCGTCGACTGTGAAGGGGATCCCGTCGAGGCTCTTGCCGCAGACCACGCAGCAGAAGCACTTGGGGTGGTAGGGCTTGCCGGTGGCCCGCAGGATGCGGTCTAGGATGGGCTTCTGGCAAACGCAGCACTTCTCCAGGGTGTTCTGGAGCGAAGTCGGGTTACATTTTCCAAATTAACGCGATTATAATTGTTTTTTTTTGGAAGAAAATGTGAGGTTATGTGGAACTAAAATGTGGTATTATCTAACTCGGAGGGTGTTTTAAGCAATTTTTGGGTCTTCAGAAGGCTATAGGCTCTAATTTACGTCGCATAATTAGAGTATATTTAAAATCAGTGCGACTTTTTGTGCTCGGACTAAAATTTGAGGTTATGTTATTAGTGAATTATCCAAAAATGTTCTAAATTTAACAATGTATACAGTTAATATTTGCCTATAAATATTAACAAAAGTTGGTCAATAATTATCTTGACAGAACTTCCCTCGCCCTTAGAGTACAACGACTATCCTAGCTTTTTCGGAAAATTTTTCGGAAGCGACAAGAAGTTAATAACAAAAAAGATAAAAAAAAAAAACGGGCGACAAAAAATATGACAAAACAACAGAAAAATTGCCTAAAAAAGATTAAAATAAAAAAAGGACAAAAAAAGCGACAAAATCTATCAAAAAGCGACAAAAATGGCGACTAAAACCGACAAAAAAGAAAAAACAACAATAAAAAAAGGAAAAATTTTCGAAAAAAAGCTACAAAAAGGGAGAATAAAAAACATGTCAAAAAAGCGGCCCAACAAAAAACACCAAAGAGAAAGGGGAAAAAAGCGAAAAAAAGCAACCAAAAAAAAAGACAAACAAGGTGGTACAAAAAAGACACAAAAACGAGGTTCAAAATATATGCGATGAAAAAGTACAAAAAAAAAAAAAAAACGAAAAAAGCAGACAAAAAAAAAAGATGAAAAAAGTGGACAAAAAGGGAATGAAAAAAGTGGATAAAAACGGCGATGAAATGATGGGACAAAAGAGCGATAAAAAGAGGACAAAACGCGAAGACAAAAGGGGACAAAAATGCAATGGGAAAAAATGGGACAAATGGGCAATCATAAGGGGAAAAATACAAAGAAAAGGGGGACCTAAAATGCGATGAGAAAAAGGTAAAAGAGCGATTAAAAAATGGAACAAAACGGCGATGAAAAAAGGGGTCAAAATTGTAATGAAAAATGGGTCCAAAAAGGAGCTGAAAACGGAAAAAATTGAAAAAACGATGAAAAAACAAGAACAAGTGAAGAAGCGATAGATCAAAAAAGGCAATGAAAAAAAAATGAGCAAAAAGACAATGAAAAGAGGGATAAAAGGAGATGAAAAGGGAGACAAAAGGGAAATGAAAAGGGGCACAAAGGAGACGAAAAGGGGGATAAAAGGAGACGAGAAGGGAGACAAAAGAAGACGAAAAGGGAGACAAAAGGAGATGAAAAGGGGGACAAATGGAGATAAAAAGGGAGACAAAAGGAGACGAAAGAGGACAAAAAAAAATTGAAAGGAAGAAAAAACGAGATGAAAACGGGGACAAGAAGAAATAAAAAGGGGGACAAAAGGAAATGAAAAGGAGGACAAAAGGAGACGAAAAGTAGGACAAAAAAATGAAAACGGAGACAAAAGAAGATGAAAAGGGAGGCAAAAGGAGACGAAAGGGGACAAAAAAGATTAAAAGGAGGCAAAAGAAAATGAAAAGGACCAGAAAACAAAAAAAAAAAACCTGGACAAAAGAAGATGAAAAGGGGGACAAAAGGAGATGAAAAGGGGGACAAAAGAAGATGAAAAGGGAGACAAATGGAGATAAAAATGAAGACTAAAGGAAATGAAAACGGAGACAAAAGAAGATGAAAAGGGAGACAAAAGGAGACGAAAGAGGACAAAAACAGTAAAAGAAGGGGGACAAAAAAAAAATGAAAAGGACGAGAAAACGAGAAAAAAACGGGGACAAAAGATAAAAAGGGGGACAAAAGGAGATGAAAAGGGAGACAAAAGAAAATGAAAAGGGGGACAAAAGAAAATGAAAAGGGGACAAATGGAGATAAAAAGGGAGACGAAAGGAGACGAAAGAGGACAAAAAAAATGAAAAGGAAGAAAAAACGAGATGAAAACGGGTACAAAAAGAAATGAAAAGGGGGACAAAAGGTGAGGAAAACGAGGACAAAACTAAATGAAAAGGGGAACAAAAAGAAATGAAAAGAGGGACAAAAGAAGATGAAAAGGGGGGACAAAAGGAGATGAAAAGGGGGACAAAAGGAGACGAAAAGTAGGACAAAAAAATAAAAACGGAGACAAAAGAAGATGCAAAGGGAGAAAAAGGAGACGAAAGAGGACAAAAAACAGTAAAAGAAGGGGGACAAAAGAAAATGAAAAGGACGAGAAAACGAGAAAAAACGGGGACAAAAAAAGATGAAAAGGGGGGCAAAAGGAGATGAAAAGGGAGACAAAAGGAGATGAAAAACGGGACAAAAGGGAATGAAAAGGAACCAAAGGAGATGAAATGGGGGACAAAAGGCGAGGAAAAGGGGGACAAAAGCAGATGAAAAGGGGGACAAAATTAGATGAAAAGGGAGACAAAAAGAAGATGAAAAGAGAGACAAGAGGAGATGAAAAGGGGAACGAAAAAATGAAAAAGGAGACAAAAGGGAGATGAAAAAGGGGACAAAAGAAGATGAAAAGGAAGACAAAAGGAAATGAAAAGAAGAACAAAAGAAGATGAAAATAGGAACAAATGGAGCTAAAAGGGGAGATAAAAGAAGATGAAAAGGGGGACAAAAGAAGATGAAAAGGGGGACAAATGGAGATGAAAAGGGGGACAAATGGAGATAAAACGGAGACAAAAGAAAATGAAAGGAGGACAAAAGAAGATGAAAAGGGAGATAAAAGGAGATGAAAAGGGAGACAAAAAAATGAAAACGGAGATAAAAGGAGAAGAAAAGGGGAATAAAAGAAGATGAAAAGGGAGACAAAAGGAGATGAAAAGAAGAACAAAAGAAGATGAAAAGAAGATGAAAAGGGGGACAAAAGAAGATGAAAAGGGGGACAAATGGAGATGAAAAGGGGGACAAATGGAGATAAAACGGAGACAAAAGAAAATAAAAGGAGGACAAAAGAAGATGAAAAGGGAGATAAAAGGAGATGAAAAGGGAGACAAAAAAATGAAAACGGAGATAAAAGGAGAAGAAAAGGGGAATAAAAGAAGATGAAAAGGGAGACAAAAGGAGATGAAAAGGGGGACAAAAGGAGACGAAAAGTAGGACAAAAAAATAAAATCGGAGACAAAAGAAGATGCAAAGGTAGACAGACAAAAGGAGACGAAAGAGGACAAAAAAAATTAAAAGAGGAACAAAAGAAAATGAAAAGGACGAGAAAACGAGAAAAAACGGGGACAATAGAAGATGAAAAGGGGGACAAAAGGAAATGTAAAGGGAGACAAAAGGAGATGAAAAGGGGGACAAACGGGGGATCAAAGGAGTGGAAAAAAAGGACAAAAGGCGATGAAAAGTGAGACAAAAGGAGATGAAAAACGGGACAAAAGGGGGACAAAAGCAGATGAAAAGGGGGACAAAATTAGATGAAAGGGGAGACAAAAAGTAGATGAAAAGAGAAGCAAAAGGAGATGAAAATGGGGACAAAAAAATGAAAAAAGAGACAAAAGGGAGATGAAAAAGGGGACAAAAGAAGATGAAAAGGAAGACAAAAGGAAATGAAAAGAAGAACAAAAGATGAAAATGGGAACAAATGGAGATAAAAGAAAATGAAAAGGGGGACAAAAGAAGATGAAATGGGGACAAATGGAGATAAAAAGGGAGACAAAAAAAGAAAATGAAAAGGGGCACAAAAGATGAAAATGGAGATAAAAGGAGATGAAAAGAGAGACAAAAGGAGACGAAAAGGGGGACAAACGGGGGATCAAAGGAGTAGAAGAGGACAAAAGGCGATGAAAAACGGCACAAAAGGGGATGAAAAGGAACCAAAGGAGATGAAAAGGGGAACAAAAGGCGATGAAAAGGGGGACAAAAGGCGATGAAAAGGGGGACAAAAGGAGATGAAAAGGGGGACAACAGGAGATGAAAAGGGAGACAAAATAAAAATGAAAAGAGACAAAATGAGATGAAAAGGCGGACGAAAAAATGAAAAGGGTGACAAAAAGAGATAAAAGGTGGACAAAAAGAAATGAAAAAAGGGAAAAAATGAGAAGAAGAGAGACAACAGTGGCTGAAAAGGGGGACAAAAGAGGATGAAATGACAAAATGAGATGAAAGGGGGGACGAAAAATGAAAAGGGAGACAAAAGGGAGATGAAAAAGGGGTCAAAAGAAGATGAAAAGGTAGACAAAAGGACATGAAAATGGGGACAAAAGGAGATGAAAAGAAGAACAAAATGCGATGAGAAAAAAGTAAAAGATCGATGAAAAAGTGGAACAAAACGGCTATGAAAAATTGGACAAAAAAGCGATGAAAAAATGGGACAAGGCGATGAAAAAAAAAAGGGGACAAAATTGTAATGAAAAAGGGGTTCAAAAAGTAGACGAAAATGGAAAAAATTGTAAAAACGATGAAAAAGATGGCAATGCAATAAAAAGGTCAAAATACGATGAAAAAAGGGGACAAAAAAAGTAAACAACCGAAAAAAATGCTGTGAAAAGGGGATGAAAAGAGGGACAAAAGAAGATGAAAAAACGGGACAAAAGGAGATGAAAAAGGTCACAAAACAAGATGAAAAGGGAGACAAAAGAAGATGAGAAGGGAGACAAAAGGAGACGAAAACGAGGACAAAAATAAATGAAAAGGGAAACAAAAAGAAATGAAAAGGGGGACAAAAGAAGATGAAAAGAGAGACAAAAGGAGATGGGAAGGGAAAAAGGTAAAAAAGCGATGAAAAAGTGAAACAAAACAGTGATAAAAAATTGGACAAAAAAGGCGATGAAAAAAAGACAAAAATGCGATGAAAAAGGGACAAAAATGCGATGAAAAAAGGGGACACAAAAGGGCGACGAAAAAATGCGATGGGGCGATGAAACTGCACAAAGAAACAAAAAAGACGCATAAGAAAAAAATTTTAAATGGGAAAAAAATGGCGACTTAAAAAATACAAAAAAAAAAAGAATAAAAACGACATTCAAAAGCGGGTACAAAACGAAGGCAAAAATTGCCAAATTAAGGAAAATGAAACAAAAATGGCGGAAAAGGGGGGACAAAAACCGTGTTATAAAATGTGACAAAAAATGCAACAAAAAACAAAAAATCTATTAAAAAAAGGGAAAAACGCTATAAAAATTCATAGAAAAGCGACACTATAAATAAGAAAAAGTGACAAAACAAAAGTAATCAAGTAATTTACCATATTTACACCAACTTTAAAACATTTGCAAGATTTTAAAGCAGTCAGTTTAATAACTTCCAAATTAAGACAGTCAGATTGAAACCGAAGCCCTACGTAGTAAAAGTTCCCGACTTTTTAAATTTACTTACTTAACTTACTTATAGGGCTGTAATTAATTTATCTCGAGTACCCAGAATCTAAATTTGTTTCAAAATAACAAAAATTGCTGTTATTTTTCCGTTTATTTGGGAACAAAATAAAATGTGAGGTTATGTCATTACTGAAAGAGTCGACATTATTCACATTATCAAAACACTCAAAGCCATTATGAGAACCTTTAAAATCTCCCACATCAAATTCAATGAGAAACATCAATACCATAATTTAAAACCACGATTTTGTTCCTTTTATTCCAAGGTTTACAACAAAAAGTGAGGTTATATGATTCAAACTTTCTAAAATTAGAAACCTATAAACCCCACTGGCCTTCCTTTATCTCTGAGCAATAACTTTGTTTATAAACAAGCATGATAATCAAAAATCTTTTAGTATCGGGGTCAAAAAGTGAGGTTATGTGTAGTCCCATTTAGCCATATTTGTTGTGTTCAAGTTCACAAACCACATTACGTCACTCACCAAATAATCTTCCTCGCAGTAAGGATTCCCATCGAGCGCATAAAACGGCTTCCCTTGTAAATTAATAGCGCAGTGGTGACACGTGAAGCATTTAGTATGGTACAACTGATCCATAGCGGTACAACCGCTATTCTCTCCGATGATCTTATCCCCGCATTTCACGCACACCCCGTATACATCCTGATCCTGCTCGTTATCCATCCCCTGCACCAGCAAATCGGTCAAACTGTCCACCTCCTGGAGCTTATTCACCTCCATCCGACTCGGTGACTGACCGGGGGCATTCACGTCCATCCGACTGGCCGACTGGCTGGGGCCCGTCATGGTACTAGTGTTACCGCTCACGTAGGGGGCGTATAGAGAGTAGTTCGACCTTGAGGACATCTGACTCGGGGGGCGCGGGTTGATGGGCTCGTAAATCGACTCGTACGTTGAAGATGACTGCGGAACGAAACGTCGTGAAAAGGGGTCCTTGTGCGGCCAACTTCGTTCGTTTAAAATGAGCGTATATACTGTTGTTCAATTTATTTGGAACAACCATATATAGTCCATGCGAATGAAGTTGGCCACGCACGAATGTCAGACCATCTGGCCACCCTAGACTTAGAATTACCTGAGACATAGCCCCATATCCATACAAAGAATCAGAATCAGCGTACTGGTTAGCGAAAAACAATAGACACAAGCATTAGTCATGTTACGAAGCTTAAGCCAAAAATTCATTAATTCTCCAATCCAATACCTGCGATCCTAGACTGTAATTGAAGTCCTGGGGGCCCGGCTGAGTGGCCCTCCTCAACTCGCTGTAGCTCGAGCTGACCGGGCTCGGCGGCGGCAATAAATCCTCCGGGGGCGGCGGCAGATTGGTGTTGATGGTGCACGGGGCGTAGTCACCCAAATTGCCGCCCATATCGAGCGGAGGGGGAGGCGGCGGCAAGTCCTCTACTCAACGACCAATCAGACAACAACATATACACAAGTCACGCCTTACCTCCGTTAGCGTAGGCGTTGCCGGAGGGCGGGAGGTTGCTGTAGACGTTCCCCTCCCGCGGCGGGTGGACCAGATTGCTGTAGATTAGGCCGTCCTGGTTGCGCGATTGGCCCACCTGGATGTTGCTGTAGGTCACGTGGTCGGGCTTCGTATACGGCTTTGGCGTTAGATTGGTGGTTTTGATGTTCTGGGGGCGGGGCAAGTTGGCGTAGTTGGAGGAGTTTAGTGGGAGGGTGGGGGCGTTGGAGTAGGTGCTTTGGGGCGGGAGGTTGGAGTAGAATTGGGTGGTCTGGAGGCGGGAGGAGTAGGAGGGTTCGACGGTCTGTTTCAGGGGGTACGACTGAGGTATCTGAAACAGGACTGTCGTGATTAATCTGCGCTCCTTTTTTGCATAACTAATTTTTTTTTTTTTATTAAAACTTTTTTTGTTTTTTTTTTTTTAAGTTTGTATATGAAATTAGATTATTGTCACTTGCATCAGGATTGCCACCAGTTTCGATTCTACAACAAAAATCACTAGATTGTTCTATAGAATTATGCATTCTCCAAATAATATCTCCCCTGTGGTAAACTGTCAACAATCAAATTATATTTTAAGCCGTTTATTTTAGACACAAGTAGTTTAAATTAAGGTTAGAATCAATTTTTATGTTGGTCACACTGATGCGTAACTGACAAGTATGACATTAATCTGTCATTTTTGACACTTTAGTTCTACATCAAAAGATGGCTGCCTTTTTAACCAAAATCCTGCTATTGGTTTCAGAAGAGATAATTAATCTAAATTCTGTCTAGATTTTTAATTTGGATAATTAAATGTCACTTACGTCAGGCTTGCCACCAGTTTCGGTTTCATAAAAAAAATCACTAGATTGTTCTGTCGAATTTATGGATTTTCCAAATAATATCTCCAGTGGTAAACTGTTTACAATCAAATTATATTTTAAAACGTTTGTTTTAGACACAAGTCGTTTAAATTAAGGTTAAAATGAATTTTTATGTTGGTCACACTGAAGCGTGGCTGACAAGAATGACATTAATCTTGTCATTTTTGACGCATTTAGTTCTACGTCAAAAGATGGCTGCCTTTTTAAGCAAAATCCTGCTACTGGCTTTGGAAGAGATAATTAATCTAAATTCTGTCTAGATTTTTGATTTGGATAATTAAATGTCACTTGCGTCAGGCTTGCCACCAGTTTCGGTTTCATCAAAAAAATCACTAGACTTGTCTATAGAATTTAGGGATTTTCCAAATAATATCTTCCCTGTGGTAAACTGTCTACAATCAAATTATATTTTAAGCCGTTTATTTTAGACACAAGTCGTTTAAATTAAACTTAAAATGAATTTTTATATTGGTCACACTCATGCGTAACTGACAAGTATGACATTAATCTGTCATTTTTGACACTTTAGTTCTACATTAAAAATGGCTGACTTTTTAAGTAAAATCCTACTATTGGCTTCAGAAGAGATAATCAATCTAAATTCTGTCTAGATTTTTCATTTGGAGAACTAAATGTCACTTGCGTCAGGCTTGCCACCGGTTTCGGTTTCATCAAAAAAAATCACTAGATTGTTTTACAGAATTTATAGATTCTCCAAATAATATCTCCCCTGTGGTAAAGTGCCTAAAAATCAAATTACATTTTAAGCCGATTATTTTAGACACAAGTCGTTTAAATTAAGCTTAAAATGAATTTTTATGTTGGTCACACTGATGCGTAACTGACAAGTATGAGATTAACTGTCATTTTTGACACTTTAGTTCTACATTAAAAATGGCTGACTTTTTAAGTAAAAATCCTGCTACTGGCTTTAGAAGAGATAATTAATCTAAATTCTGTCTAGATTTTTGATTTGGATAATTAAATGTCACTTGCGTCAGGCTTGCCACCAGTTTCGGTTTCATCAAAAAAATCACTAGATTGTTCTATAGAATTTATGGATTCTCCAAATAATATCTCCCCTGTGGTAAACTGTCTACAATCAAATTATATTTTAAACCGTTTATTTTAGACACAAGTCGTTTAAATTAACCTTAAAATGAATTTTTATGTTGGCCACACTGATGCGTAACTGACAAGTATGACATTAATCTGTCATTTTTGACACTTTAGTTCTACATCAAAAGATGGCTGCCTTTTTAACCAAAATCCTGCTATTGGTTTCAGAAGAGATAATTAATCTAAATTCTGTCTAGATTTTTAATTTGGATAATTAAATGTCACTTGCGTTAGGCTTGCCACCAGTTTCGGTTTCATCAAAAAAATCACTAGACTTGTCTATAGAATTTAGGAATTTTCCAAATAATATCTTCCCTGTGGTAAACTGTCTACATCAAATTATATTTTCAGTCGTTTATTTTAGACACAAGTAGTTTAAGGTTAGAATCAATTTTTATGTTGGTCACACTGATGCGTAACTGACAAGTATGACATTAATCTGTCATTTTTGACACTTTAGTTCTACATCGAAAGATGGCTGGCTTTTTAAGCAAAATCCTGCTATTGGCTTTAGAAGAGATAATTAATCTAAATTCTGTCTAAATTTTGATTTGGATAATTAAATGTCACTTGCGTCAGGCTTGCCACCAGTTTCGGTTTCATAAAAAAATCACTAGATTGTTCTGTCGAATTTATGGATTTTCCAAATAATATCTCCAGTGGTAAACTGTTTACAATCAAATTATATTTTAAAACGTTTGTTTTAGACACAAGTCGTTTAAATTAAGGTTAAAATGAATTTTTATGTTGGTCACACTGAAGCGTGGCTGACAAGAATGACATTAATCTTGTCATTTTTGACGCATTTAGTTCTACGTCAAAAGATGGCTGCCTTTTTAAGCAAAATCCTGCTACTGGCTTTAGAAAAGATAATTAATCTAAATTCTGTCTAGATTTTCGATTTGGATAATTAAATGTCACTTGCGTCAGGCTTGCCATCAGTTTTGGTTTAATTAAAAAAATCACTAGATTGTTCTATAGAATTTATGGATTCTCCAAATACATCTCCCCTGTGGTAAACCATCAACAATCAAATTATATTTTATGCCGCTTATTTTAGACACAAGTCGTTTAAATTAAGCTTAAAATGAATTTTTATGCTGGTCACACTGATGCGTAACTGACAAGTATGACATTAATCTGTTATTTTTGACATATTTAGTTCTACATCGAAAGATGGTTGCCTTTTTAAGCAAAATCCTGCTATTGGCTTCAGAAGAGATAATTAATCTAAATTCTGTCTAGATTTGTGATTTGGATAATTAAATGTCACTTGCGTCAGGCTTGCCACCAGTTTCGGTTTCACCAAAAAAATCACTAGATTGTTCTATAGAATTTATGGATTTTCCAAATATATATCTCCCCTGTGGTAAACTGTCTACAATCAAATTTTATTTTAAACCATTTATTTCAGACACAAGTCGTTTAAATTAAGCTTAAAATGAATTGTTATGTTGGTCACACTGATGCGTAACTGACAAGTATGACATTAATCTGTCATTTTTGACATATTTAGTTCTACATCAAAAGATGGCTGCCTTTTTAAGCAAAATCCTGCTACTGGCTTCAGAAGAGATAATTAATCTAAATTCTGTCTAAATTTTGATTTGGATTATTAAATGACACTTGCGTCAGGCTTGCCACCAGTTTCGGTTTCATCAAAAAAATCACTAGATTGTTCTATAGAATTTATGGATTTTCCAAATAATATCTCCCCTGTGGTAAACTGTCTACAATCAAATTATATTTTAAGCCGTTTATTTTAGACACAAGTGGTTTAAATTAAGCTTCAAATGAATTTTTATGTTGGTCACACTGATGCGTAACTGACAAGTATGACATTAGTCTGTCATTTCTGACATATTTAGTTCTACATCAAAAAATGGCTGCCGTTTTAAGCAAAATCTCTTGCTATTGGCTCACTTGCGTCAAGCTTGCCTACAATTTCGGTTCCATACAAAAATCACTAAATTGTTACTATAGAACAGAATTATTAAATTATCTACAAATTCTACAATTAAATTATACTTTAAGCCGCTTATTTTAGACACAAGTCGTTTAAATTATGCTTGAAATTAATTTTTGGGTTGGCCACACTGGCATGTAACTGACAAGTATGACACTAATCTGTCATTTTTGACATAAATTAGTTCTACATGAAAAGAGAAAGTTATTGAATATGAAAGTGGAAACAATTCTAAAAGGACACACTGGCGCTCTTACAGTCATCAATTTCTAGGTTGCATTGAGCACAATGACATTTATAGCCCCCATATGTCTGACCATTGATAAAACATTATAACAAAAAAAAATACCTGTGGTTGCGGTTTCTTGGGTTTTGGAGGGACCGCAGGCCCTATTTTCTTCCCCAGAGTCCCAGTCCCTGCATTAGACCCCAGCTCACTCTTGTTGAGTAGGGCCAGTTCGGCCAATTGTTTGTCCAAGTCGTTCATCCTGAAATGAACTCACTAACTAAAACTTTTCCACAAACGAAATGCGACAAATGCGCACTCAGTAAAGATAACGTAATTACTTCGATAATATAATTCCTTAAAAATGCAACTCAATTAAACAAAGTGAGGTTATGTTCCCCAATTTCCCCAACACACCGCAAATTCCCCAGAACTCCTTACCCTGCGTCACTATCAACCAAAACTAATCACTTTACGCCCTATTTTGATTCAGTTTTTCGTCAAATTCCACGAATTCGGGTGTAAACCCGAAAATGAACACTTCGCTGCAATGACAAATCGAGCAGTTGACCAACTCGACACTCGTCACAACCGACCCCCAACAAACCCAAAACTTGAGCGGGCGATTGTAGCCGTTGTACTGGACAGACGCAAATAAATCAACGTTTTGACTGCATTTTTATGGTACTTCTTGAAAAAAGAATGCAAATGACCTCACGGACGCAGTCAATTAAGCGAAAACCGGAAATTCCAGCAAAAAGTGCGGTTTCGGCCGTGTCAAATTTGACAGCGCAGGGCCGGACCGCCGAATTTCGCACACCCAGACTCACCTGTTTTCGCAAAAAGGGCTTCAAAAAATTGAAAAACGGTCGTTGCTAGATCACTACCCACAAATGAATCACTGCATGCCTCCACTATCTCGTTCTTTAAAACTTTTCGTCTGTGACTCACGTTCCAGTTGGTAAGTAGTAGGGACATGACCTCACCCAAACAATGTAACCACCCAGAACAACAAAATTATCTTTCTTACAATAACACGGCTTTATTCTGTTAAGTACACGTTAATAACTAGCTTAAAATATACAGAGTGGTCCCAAAACCATCCGCTTCGTGCGATTAGTAATAGATGGCGGTTAAGTCGTTAGTGGCGAAAATGGCGTTCGGGGAGCCGGGATTCAGCACGATCTGGCTCTCGAAATTCGGGGTGTAGTCGTACTCGTCTTGTTTCTGCAACACAAACTCAGTTTTCGATTCATCAAAATTGTGTATCGACTTACTGGTAATTTTTTGTGAGCGATGCAAAAAGTGCACACTCGGTTCGACGTTTCGTCGATTTTGTTGGCCAGTCTCAGGCAGGGCTGGTCGATGGGGCCCGCCATGAGTTGGGTGCCCAAGTGGGAGATGTAGCTGGAGGCTAGTCGCAGGGTCTCGATTTTGCTAAGTTTGCGGTCCTTGGGTTCCGTGGGGATGAGGGTTCTAAGGGTGGAGAAGGCCGTGTTCACGCTAAAAAATATTGTTGTCGGAGATTAAGAAGGCGTGGAGGGGGGAGGTTTTTGTTTTTGTAAATCGCGGCATCTTTACTTAAGTAATTGTGTTTAAGTAATAATTAAATTATATACCTTTTGGGTTTTGAATATATGTCCAAAATTTTCTTGGCTTCATTACATCTGGAATTTTTAGTATTTTAGTTTGGTAATGACGCAAAGTAAAGTAACACAACAGGTCATTATTAAAGCAGGGCTTCAGTTTTTAACGACTAAATAATAAATTAGGGTCAGAAAATTGGGAAAAATGATCTACAAAGGTGTGTCAGATCTTAGTTTTCTTATTTTCGTTTTTACATTATAACTGATTCTTTTGAAGATGACGTCATAAAACGCTGAGTATCATTATGTCCTCTTCTGGAAGCTCCACCAACTCTGCAATTTATCTTACAAATTTATTATAGATGATGAAAAGCGAACTAAAATTTGGGTGACTTTTTCATTCATTTATTAGTTATTGGCTAATAGAAAAAATTTGACTCCAAAAAGCAGCAGGGACTTTTTGTGGGTTAGTACAATGCTAATTTGTGTCAAAATGTCAGAATACTGTCACACTTGTCAGTATTCTGACACTGCCAGTTTGATACAAGTGACCTTGAACTGTCGAAAACACAAAGTTAGAAAGAAATCGAACTTTCCTCGTCCCTAAAGCACAATCAAACAAACCAGTTTCTTAGACAAATTATAAAATTTGACTTTGTGATTTTGTATTTTTTTTAATGATAATAATCTATAATTTAAGGTTTCCATAGTAAAGTGTTTGATGACGTCAAACTTTTTAGCAACGATAAGAGAAAACGACAAAAAATGAGAGAATGAAAAAGTCGACAAAAGAGGTGAAAAAAGATGATTCAAAAAAACGTTTAGAAAAAATGCCAAAGAAATTAAAAAAATGAGAAAAAGGATAAAAATAGTCTGACAAAAAAAAGGCAACTAAAAAAATCGACAAAGACAAAGAAAAGCCCAACAAAAAAATATGAAAAAAAAAACGAGGAAAAATAGAGAAAACAAAGCGATAAAAAAGTGATAAAAAGGCGAAGAAGGAGACAAAGAGAAGCCAACTAAAAACACTATAAAAAAAAGAAGAAAAAAAGCCTCAAAAAACGCCAAAGAATATCGAAAATCATGCTATAAAAAAAGGAGGAAAAAACACAAGAAAAGTTACAAAAAAGCGAGAAAAAAACAAAAAAAAAATGGAACCGAAAGCGGACAAAACATATGGCAGAAAAATTGAGAAAAAAAGAATACTAAAAAAAAAAGGTTAATGAACGCCAAGTCCAAAAAAGATGCGTAAACAAAGGGACAAAAAAATACCATAAAAAGCGATGAAAAGAGGAAACAAAAAAAGACAAAAAATACAACAAACAGAAATAAAAAATGGACGAAACAAGAAAGGGCACTAAAAAAACGACAAAGAGTCGATAAAAAAAGGACAAAAAAATAACGAAAAAGGGGACAAAAAATACGAAAAAATCGACAGAAGTATGAAAAAAAAAGAAAGAAAATGGCGAAAAAGGGACAACAAAATGTGATCTCCAAGGTGAAAAAAAGGCGATTAAAAAGTGGTAAAAATAGGATGAAAGAATGAGACCAAAAACAGGCTACAAAGAAAATGGTGAAAAGAAAAAGTTGATATGAAATGGTTTGAAAAAGCGACAAAAAGGAACCAAAAAAGGCGACTATAAAAGCGACAAAAAACAAGTAGGTAATAAAAAAGCAATAAAGAAAGGGCGACAAAAAAGGGGATCAAAAAAGGGGACGAAAAAGACGAAAAAATGGTCCAAGAAAGGACCAAAAAAAGATAACGAAAACAGAATCAAAAAACGCGGAGAAAGGTAGACAAAATACCATAAAAGCGATGAAAAGGGGGGGCAAAAAAAGGATTAAAAAATGCGAAAAAAAGTAATAAAAATCGGAGAAAACAAAAAAAGTGAACTAAAATAGCGACAATGAAAAAGTCTATCAAAAAACATAAATAACGAAAAAAAGGGACAAAAAAGCGAAAACAATCCACAGAAAAATGAAAAAAAAAAACTCTGCCAAAAAAATTGCGAAAAAGGAACAAAAAAATGTGAAATCAAGGCCATAAAAAGAAAGGCAACGAAAAAAGTGATAAAAATAGGACAGACAAAAAGGAGACCAAAAAACAACACAGTTAAAATAACATACAAAGAAAAAAAAAGAGAAAAAAAAGTTGCTACAATGGTTTGAAAAAGCGATAAAAAACGGGCCAAAACAAGCCAACTAAAAAAGCGACAAAGAAACAGGTGATAAAAAAAGCAATAAAAAGAGCGAGAAAAAAATGGGGCCAAAAAGATGAAAAACATGAAAAAATGGCCCAAAAAGGACCAAAAAAAGGTAACCAAACAAAGGCAAAAAAAAACGCGGAAAAGGTAGAAGAAAGACCATAAAAAGGGATGAAATAGGGGGACAAAAATGGCCACATAAAAAAAGGGACAAAGAAACAGGTGATAAAAAACAGTAAAGAAAGGGTGAGAAAAAAATGGAACCAAGAAAAAGACAATGAAAAAGATGAAAAAATGGGCCAAAAAAGATAACGAAAACAGAGTCAAAAAAACGCGGAAAAAGGTAAAAAAATAGAGGAAACAAAAAATGGGCAAAAAAGCCGACTAAAAAAGCGACAAAGAAAAAATTGATAAAGAAGAACAGAAAAATTACGAAAAAAAGCAGACACAAAATGCGAAAAAATCGACAAAAAAATGAAAAAAAAACTCAGTCAAAAAAATTGCGAAAAAGGGACAACAAAATGTGAAATAAAGGCCATAAAAAGAAATGCGATTAAAAAAGTGATAAAAACAGGACGAAAAAAAGGGGACCAAAAACCAGTACATACACTTAAAAAACCTACAAAGAAAAAAAAAAAAGGGGGGGCCAAAGAAAGCCGACTAAAAAGCGACAAAGAAACAGGCCATAAAAAAAGCAATAAAGAAGGGGCGAGAAAAAAAGGGACCAAAAAAAGGCAACGAAAAAAATGAAAAAATGGCCCAAAAAGAACCAAAAAAAGATAACGAAAACACAGTAAAAAAATGCGATAAAAAGTTATAAAAAATGGAAGAAACAAAAAAGAGGATTAAAAAAAGCCGATTAAAAAGGCGACAAAGAAAAAGACGATAAAAAAATTACAAAAAAAATTACGAAAAAAAAAGACAAAAATGCTGAAAAAAAACAAAAAAAAATCCAAAAAAGGGACAACAAAATGTGAATCAACGTGATAAAGGGAAACGCGATTAAAAAAGTGGTAAAAATAGGACGAAAAAAAGGAGACCAAAAAACATATACTTAAAATGGGTACAAAGAAAATTGTGAACACAAAAGTTGATAAAATTGTTCGAAAAAGCGACAAAAAGGGGCCCAAAAAAGGTGATTAAAAAAAACGACAAAGAAACAGGCGTTAAAAAAGCTATAAAATAAGGGCGAGAAATAAAGGGGACAAAAAAATCGATGAAAAAGATGAAAAAAAAACGAAAACAGTCAATTAAATGCGGAAATAAGGTAGAACAACGACCATAAAAAACGATGAAAAGGGGGAACAAACAAAGGAACAAAAAAATACAAAAAGAAAAGACAAAAGGCATAAAAAATGGATGAAACAAAAAAAGAGGACTAAAGAAGAGACAAAGAAAAAGTCGAAAAAAAAAGATCAGAAAAATAACGAAAAAAGGACAAAAAAATGCGAAAAAATCGACAAAAAAAATTGCGAACAAGGGACAACAAAATGTCAAATCAAGGCCATAAAAAGGAAAGGCAACGAAAAATTGATAAAAATATGACGAAAAAAAAGGAGACCCAAAAATAGTACACTTAAAAAAACCTTCAAAGAAAATGGAAGAAAAAAAAATGATAAAATGGTTCAAAAAAACGACAAAAAAATCCGACTAAAAAATATATAGTGGTTCGAAAAAAGCAACAAAAAAAGGGGGACTAAAAAAGCGACAAAGAAGCAATCGATAAAAAAAAGCTATAAAGAAAATGAGAGAAAGAAAGTGGGCAAAAAAAAGGCGTTAAAATGATGAAAAAATATACCAAGAAAGGATAAAAAAATATATAAAAAATGCGATAAATGGCGATGAAAAGGGCGGACATAAAAAATGATCAAAAAAAACTAAAAATCCGTCAAAAAAAGCAATAAAAAATTGACGAACAAAAATCGGGGCTAAAAAAGCGACAAAGAAAACGTCGATAAAAAAAGGACAAAAAAAAGGAAATAAAAATATGGCAAAGAAAAAAGGTGAAAAAAAAACAGTGAAAACACGGCGGCAAAATATCGAAAAAAAAAAAAATAATAAAAAAGTGACCAAAAAAGTAGACTCAAAAACCTGCCAAAGAGAAAGGCGAGGAAAAAAAGACGAAAAAAGTATTAAAAATAAAGGGGGCAAAAGAACCACTGAAAGAAGGTCCAAAGAAACGACCAAAAAAATTGGCAACGAAAAAAGGTGAAAAAACACGAAAAATAATAAGTGACAAAGAAAAAACAGACAAGATAAAAGCAACTAATAAAAAAAAGCCATAAAAAGGCGAAAAAAGAGACAACAAAACAAGTGCTATAAAAGGGGTAAAAGAGACAAAAAATATGACAAAAAAATCAATAAAAAAAAGAGACAAAAAAACAGCGAAAATAAAGCAAGAAAAAAATTAAAAAGACGACAAAAAGCGTGGCCAAAAAACAACAAAAAGCTGAAAAAACAAAAAATGGCTACTAAAAAAACGACAAGAAAATACGTCAAAAACGCAACAAAGAAAAAGATGAAAGAAAAGGCCCAAAAAAGGGCGACAAAGAACGATAAAAAACCGAAAAGGCAGTTAAATGATAAAAATACACCAAAAAAAAAAAAGGAGTAAAAAGGCAAGAAAGAAGCAAAAAAGATCACAATAGGCGACAAAAAAATGGCTTAAGATATAACTTGATTTACTGTAAGTGAAGTATAAAATTACAGAATCTATAAATTCTGCAATAGCAATTTGGTGATTTTCGTTACGCAAGCAAACCTGATGCAAGTGACATTTAATTATTCAAATTACAAATCTAGATAGAAATAACACAAATTAATCATTTCTTATAAACCCAACAGCAAAATTTTGACTTTACAGATCAGCCATTTTTTGATATGGAATTAAGTCATGTCAAAAATGTCAAACAAGTGTCATACTTGTCATTTACCCAATAGTATGACCAACATAAAAACTAATTTAAGGTTTAATTTAATCAAATTATTTCTAAGAAATGAAAAATTAGAAACATCGATAAACAGGTTTACAAATCTTACAAAATCGAAATAATCACACCAAGATCTAAACTGGCTCACTTTAATCTATCATTTATCCCAATTTTATTATTATTATCCCAAGTTATTAGCCCGAAAATATCTCTCAACAAGTTCTACTATCTACATACACAAATAAATAACCATAGCCCTCATCCTGTACCGACTCCTATTCAACAATACCCAACCACCCGAAAAATACCTCCATCAAGACAGCGCCACACCGCAATCCACCAAACCGCCACACACACATCATAGTTACCTGTGCGTCCTATCTCTCTCCCTCGCATTCGCCTGACTCCTCTGTCGCACAGGTGCCCCGACCTCCTCGCTCCCATTGGCCGCGCACTTTTTCCTCTTATTTCCAGCACCGTTCCCGTGGTAAAACTCCATTTTTCCGCTCAAACCGAGCCAAAACTACTGCGTTTTCATTTGTTCGTGAAGCAACAAGTGTCATAGCCGACTGTGAATGAGCTCAGTCAATTAAGACAATTTCGTGATATTTTTAACAGATGCTGAGCGAGTCGACGCCCACTCGAAAATACACAGCCGTGCAGAGCCTGACCGAGGGGGAAATGAGGGAAACAGACGGCGATTTTTCAGGCGACGAAAATGAAAAGGCCGCTTGTTGCCGGAGATGGAGATTAATTGAAGGGGGTTTAATTGGCGGCGGCCGGAGGAGCTAATTGGGCTGACGTCACGGCGGGCCGGGGGACGGGGCGAGTACGGACCTGGCGGGAGGAAGTCATCCCTTACGGGTGGCGTTTTCAAAACAAATAAATCACGAGGCGGCGAAGAAAGGGCGATTTTGTCGAGGGAAATGGGACATGTGCTGGGTCGGATGGGTTGGGCTTTGGTGGGGTTTTTGCGAAGGAAGCGAGGCGGCGGTTGGCAGTAGCTGGATGTATTTTTTATTGTGGAAGATAATCAGATAATCATTTGATTTTTAGGGGTGAAAATACAGTACTAGGGGTGTATTCCTTTAATTGTTGAATTCTCAAAACAATTTTTCAAACATGTAAACCATCTTTCTGTAATTCAATCACAAAAACAAAAATAAAAATCTGATTTTTGTTTATTAGATTAGCTGATCGATTATGCAACCAGTAATACACGTAATATGTACATTGCGCCACATTTTATGATTTTTCAGTGTAAAGATACTGTGGTAAAGTCAACACATCCTTATTCGTTTAATTATGAAATAAATTGTTAAACATTACTGCAATACATTAATGCAATAATAATAGTAAGTATTTAGTTAAAAAAAATTGGGCTGTGTTTTTAGTGAAATCAATTTGTGCAACCGCTGCTGATAACTTATCATGACATAATTAAACCCTATTTAAGCAAATAATATTATTTATAATATTTATATATGATAAGGATTAATATATCATAAATAAACCGAAAACCGTTTTTCTACACATATGAAGTTATTAAAAACAGTTCAATTTGTTTAAATATCGTTAAATTAACTCCGAAAATGTGCAATTTTCCGGCCAAAATATGAAAAATAATTTTGACAGTCTCATCGTGGCACACGATGGACGTGGCTGTCACGTGAGCTACCGGAGGAGACAAAGTGATAAAAATACGACAAAAAACAAAAAGGCGACCAAAAAGGCAGTATAAAAATCCGAAAAAAAGATAAATAAAAACAAGAACGATAAAAAAAAAGAAAAAAGGCTCAAAAAACGCTTGAAAAAAATGGAAACAATGAAAAAAGAATGGACCAAAAAATTACAAAAAAAAAAATACAAAAAACTTAAAAACCACCAAACAAAAAAAAATTAAAGTCGACCAAAAAGGGACAAAAATGCAATAACAAGGTAACAAAAAAGGAATAAAATAAGTGATGAAAAAGGGCGAACCATAAAAAGGAGACTAAAAAAGGCGATAAAAAGCGACCAAAAAAAGAAATTTATAAAAGAGCCAACAATGTAAGAAAAGGCGGAAGGACAACATAAAAGATGTAAAAAAGACCATAAAAGGGGGATACAAAAACGACAAAAATGCGAAAACAAGGCAATAAAAAGGCGAAAAAAATAGCTCAAAAATCTATCAAAAAATACAAAAAAAAAGTGGAAAGAACAAAACGTGACAGAAAAGCAACCAATAAAAGGGACCAAAAATGCAACAAAGGAATGGGTGAAGAAATGACGAAAAAAAGGCAACGAAAAAAGCGTTCAAAAAATAATTAAAAAAGAGGGCGAAAAAAAATCGACTCTAAACACGATAAAAAGACGAAGAAATGTTTAAAAAACGATTAAAAAAGTCCAGAAACCAAAAAAAAAGAGCCAAAAATGGCACCGTTTTCCTACAATCATGAAGTTATTAAAAACAATTCAGTTGAAAAAGAGAACCAATAAAGGCGACTAAATACTCGACTAAGAATAAGGTGACAAAAAAAGACGAAAAAAAAGGCTCAAAAAAGTTCGAAAAAATGGAAAACATGAAAAAAAACTTTTTTCATTAAAAATAAGACAAAAAGAGCCACCAAAAATAACAAATAATCGTAAAAAAGGTTACAAAAACTAGAAAACGACAAAGAAAAAAGGAACAAAAAATACGAAAAACTACTAAGGAAATAATCATCAATTTTTTAGTAAGAACAAGAAAAAAACGACAGAAAAATGCGAATAAAGAGACAAAAACAGGCCGACAAAGAAAAAAGAGACCAAAAATGGCGAAAAAAAGCAAAAGAATATAGCAAAAAAAGCTACTCTATATAATATGGTGACAAAATAAACAAAAATAAAAATACAGCGGAAAAAAGAAATAGTGAAGGCAAGACAATAAAAAAGGCGCCACAAAGCGATTAAAAAAAGGAAAAAAAGAACAATAAAGGCGACTAAAAACGTGACTAAGGGAAAAGTGACAAAAAAGACGAAAAAAAAGATCAACAAAAATCGAAAAAAATGGAAAACAAGAAAAATGGGACAAAAAGAGCGATCAAGAAATAACCAGAAAAATGATAAATAATTGAGAAAAAAAAAAACCCTAAAAAAATACTACAAAGAGAAAAGGGACCAAAACACGAAAAACTACAAAGGAAATGATAATAAAAGCATATGATAAAAATACCAAAAAAATTAAACTAAAAAAGATCCAAAAAGCAAAAAAACCACCACAAAAAAGATAACGAAAAAAGAGCCAAATGAATTGAGAAAGGGCATGAAAAGACCACAAAAATTGATAAAAGGTAACAAAAAACGACAAAAAAAAGTAACAAAAAAGGGAAAAAATGCAATAACAAGGTTACAAAAGAGGAATAAACAATCAAAAAGGGCGAACCAAAAAAAGCCGTCTAAAAAAAGCGACCAAAAAAAGAAAAAGAAAAAAGAGCAAAAATAAGAAAAGGTGAAATTGAAAACATAAAAAGGTGAAAAAAAAAACACAAAAAGGCGATACAAAAACGACAAAAACGCGAAAACAAGACAATTAAAAAGGCAAAAAAAGAGGGAAACAAAAAATCAGACTAAAAAAGCCATAAAGAGAAAGGCGATAAAAATAGCTCAAAAAACGACCAAACAAAAAAAAGGCGGAAGAAAAGACCACAAAAGGTGTTAAAAAGCAACAGAAAAGCAACCAATAAAAGGAACAAAAAAATGCAACAAAGAAATAGGTAAAAAAAAATGACGAAAAAAGGTGTCAAAAAACCGTTAAAAAAGTAAAGAGTCGACTCGATACAAGATAAAAAAGGCGAAGAAATATTTAAATAACGATTAAAAACGATTTAAAAAGTTCAGAAAAAGAGAACGAAAAAATAGCCAGAAACATGAAGTTATTAAAAACAATTCAATTTTTTTAAAGACAATGAACAAACAATAGCGATAAAAAATGAAAATGAAAACCAATAAAAGCTCATCCGAAGGGGAAAATATGGCGAATAAAAACCACAATAAAGATGATAAATAATAACCATAAAAGCAAAAAAAAAGATAAAGACGGCTCAAAAAATTACCACAAATAGGTAACGAAAAAAAGGACACTTTTAAAAAAAAAAGTGACAAAAAGCGACAAAAAAGCAACAAAAAAGAAACAAAAATGCAAAAACACTTTGACAAAGAAGGAATAAAATAAATGATGAAAAAGGGCGAACTAAAAAAGCCGACCAAACAAGAAAGCGACCAAAAAAAGAAAAAAGGAGCCAAACAAGTCAAAAAAGGCGACAGAAAACATAAAATAGGTTAAAAAACAAGGCAATTAAAAAGATAAAAAAGAGAGGGGAACCAAAAATTCAACTTAAAAAGCGACAAAGAAAAAAGCGATAAAAAAATTGCTCAAAGAGCGACCAAAATAAAAATACAAAAAAGGGAGGAAGAAAAGACCACAAAAGCGACAGAAAAGCAACCAATAAAACGGACAAAAAATACAAGAAATTAGTAGATGAAAAAAAATAACGAAAAAAGGTGGCAAAAAAGCATTAAAAGAAGTAATAAAAAAGGGCCAAAAAGAGTCGACTCGATACACTATAAAAAAAGACGAGGAAATATTTAAAAAGCTTTCAAAAACGATTTAAAAAGTCCAAAAAAAGAGAACGAAACATGAAGTTGTTAAAAACAATTCAATTTGTTTAAAGACAATGAAAAAGGCGCAAAAAGCGATAAAAAATTAAAAAAGAACCATTAAAGGCGACTAAAAACCCGACTAAGAAAAAGGTGACAAAAAAGACAAACAAAGACTCAAAAAACAATAGAAAAAATGAAAAATATAGAAAAAACCGACAAAAATGGGACAAAAAGAGAGACCAAAAAATAACAAAAAGATTGGCAAATAATTGTAAAAATAGTTACAAAAATTAAAAAAAATCGACCGAAAAAAAATACAACAAAAAAATATCTAAAAAGGGGGAAATAGGCGACAAAAAGCGTTCAAAAAAGTACTAAAAACGTAGTCAAAAAAAGTCGACACGATAAAAAAGACGGAGAAATATTTAAAAGCGAGCGATCAAAAACGATTAAAATAGTCTAAAAAATGAGAACGAAAAAAAGAGCCTGGCTACAACATGAAGTTATTAAAAGCAATTCAATTTTGCTTAAATAATTTTGACAATCTCATCGTGACGTACAATGACGTTGCTGTCACGTGAGCTACCTGAGTAAAGGTCAGATCATGTCAAGTTTTATTAAAACTTATTAAAAAGGACTCAAAAAGTCTCCCATTTTGTGAATTTTATATTTTTAATGACAATAAGCTATAAGGTTTTTATATAATAAAATGTGTGTGTGATGACGTCATCAACTTTTTAGTAAGAACAAGAAAATGCGTAAAAAAAGTAGAAAAAAGATGACAATAAAAAAGTGATAAAAAAAAGTTAAAAAAAAAACAACGAAACCCGAAGAATACAATATAACGAAAACAAAGTAATAAAAAAATGACAAAAAAACAAAAAGACGACAGAAAAAACTATTTAGAAAAAGCCAAGTATACTAGTCCAAAAGTTATAAGGTTATATGACCATCATAAAAGTAGTTGACCGCAAATAAATACCCCCTTTGTGTGGTTCGCACTAAGCTTTCCGGTTGGCAATAAATCGTCTTCTAAACATTTCTTGCTCACGTTTAACAGGGCCGACTTTCAAAGCGAGTAGTTATTTCGGAACCCTCAGCGACTGCAGGTAGTAAAGAAATAATGGAGTGGTGGATTTACATATTTAGTGAAAGCCGCCTCTGAACGAAATCTCAACAGCCGGTTGAGCTGCAGTGGACACGTTATTTACGACCCTAAAATCTTTTCTATTGTAAACAACTTAACTTCGACACAATGGGATAATTTTATGATGGCCATATAACCTTATAGCTTTTGGAATACTGTAAAACGATCGAGAACAAAATGCGAAAAAAAAGATAAACAAAAAATTAATACAAAAATTACGGAAAAAAGAAAAAATAGTGAAAACAAGAAAATGGAAAAGAGAACCAATAAAGGCGACTAAATAGCGACTAAGAAAAAGGTGAAAGAAGGACCAAAAAAAGCTCAAAAAAATCGTAAAAAATGGAAAAAATAAAAAAAAAACAACAAAAAATGAGACAAAAAGAACGACCAAAAAATAACAAAAAAAATGACCAACAATTGTAAAAAAAGTTACAAAAAACTAAACACCAAATGAAAACTAAAAAATGTCCAAAAAGGGGGAAATAAGGCGAACTAAAACCACAACAAGGGCGATAAATAGCGACAAAAAAAGCAAAAAAAAAAGGAAAACGGCTCAAAAAATTACCGCAAAAAATACATTGAAAAAAGAGCCAAATGAGTAGAAAAATGACATTTTCCACAAAAGTGATACAAAGGCGATATAAAAACGACAACAAGGCCATAAAAATAGTGAAAACAAAGGATAATAAAGAAAAACAATAAATCTGTGGCGAAATGTCCGCACTATGTGTATTACTGGTTGCATAACTAACCAAACTTTTTAGAAATTACAAATCAATAATAAATTAAAATCGAAATAATATTTTCGCTTTGGTGTATAAATTAAAAATTACAAAAACTGGCTTATCGATATCTGAAAAAGAGGTTTAGAAAATTCCACAATCGTTGCTTTCTTCCTGGAAATACATGTTATGATAGTTTCATATAAAAACAAACAACAGGAGTTCTAGGGATAAAACTTTAAATATAGTAATAACAACAGAGTCTGCATGACGCACATAAGTGTTTGTTTATATTTGACAGACTCCATTAACTAAACTAAAATTAGATGCACTTTATGAATATAACAATTATAAAAGTTCGACACTTTTACATTAGTGTGTTGAAACTTGTTCTAAAAATATGTTTGCATGTGCAATCAAATCGACATCTGGGTCACTTCCTTCACGACTAGAAGCGACCTGTAGTAACAAACGCGTTTCGGGGAAGTCCCTCTTTACGTTCGTTGAAGCGTTCGTGTTTACATTAGATAAAAGAAACAACTGCTGTTATTCAATATTACATTATTTTGATGCTTATTAGTGGCATCGATTAACTTAAAAAAATATGAATATTGATGCGCATATATTTGGGTGCAACGTCATCAGTCCTTGCAGGGGACACACATAATAAAATATGCATCGCAGCTATTTTTGGAAAAAAAATTGGAAAAAGTGCGAAAATCGTCGTCACAGCTTCTGTGTTTACTATGATTCATTGTCATGACACTGATACATTGATACATGACATTGTGCAACGTTGTAAAACGATTCCATGAATAAGGATAAATGATATCCTATAAAAATTATTTGTCGCTGTGTACAATTTAAACTTATAGTGCATTTTTTTATCAACACAATGTGCAACTTTATACTTTGAACGTTATCTAAGGTGCTCTCGGTACTGCGACGAGGTGCACATTTTTGAAATTCGTCACTTCCTTAGTTTTTCATGGAAAGAAATAGTAAAAATTTTCTAGGTATCTTATGAAATTAATGACATTGAAAACGGAAATTTGCCGCTCTCCTTTTCGTACTACAGTGACAACCAACCACGGGGCGTCTTTTTGACAATTAAGTTATGTAGTATTTCATGTTTCGAGAAAGCGGCAAACGCGTCAGTCGCGTTATATGTGTGCCTGAAAAACAAAATAGTCGTAGAATGGGGGATATCCCGTCAGTCTCTGGACCCCTGAACCCCAAAAATTGAATCAAGAATCGATCAATCCCAATTGTGAGTGGTTCAACGTCCTGTTACTAAATGACACGCTGTAAATCACCAGGCGTCACTTTATTACTGGCGGGCTTCGACATTCCGGCGGCAGGTGTCGCTTCCGTACCGCCCCCGACTAATCCCGAACGGTGCCCCAAGACAGTGCCCCATCATCGCTGGAAATAAAAATGAAATTGTTCGTTTGAGTTAGTGGGTTTGTTTTTGCGGTTCGGTAGGTTGGCTATCTTGCGTCTGCTATCTCTGTCGCGCGCGTGGGTTTCCTATCGATCTGTCCCCCTCCTTCTCGAGTCACTTGTTTCGTGATGGCGGGGCTGGTAGTGTGGTAGCGCGAGGGGGAATACCCTTTGCTTATGCTACTTAAAACCGCCGCAGCGCATGAGCCCCATTTTCCTCAAACGGAGGTGAGTGCGTGCGCTAGGGCGCCACAGTGGGGTTACAAGTGTCGCTTTTTGTCCTAACCTCAAAGGCATGGAACTCAAGGAAGTCTCAGCGAGCAAAGTGAGCCCCTACCGGTGCTACGTCCGCGGCAACATCATCCAGACTGAGGGGGAGAACGTGCTGACGCTCGGCTTCAAGGACGGCATCGCGGTTTTGCAAGTGCGCCCGCCCCCAGCTGATAGGCAAAAATTCCCAGATAACATGTTTGATAACAAAGCCATAGATCTGACGAAGCTGAAAAAGATAATAGTGAAAGTCGACCCGAAAACGGGCAAGAAGTACATCCACAAGGATGGCAGGAAAATCGAGATCCTGCCCCAGATCAGCCCGAGCCTGAGCTTGAAGCCGATGGAGAGCGTGATCAAGCCGCTGCCTAAGCCCGTCACGTCGCAGACGGGGCCCCCCGAGGACGCGCCCAAGAGCGTCATCATCAAGGCGCCGCCGAGCTTCGGCTTCCTCAACCCGCTGCCCAAGCTGCTGCCCAAGGGCTCGGTGGTGGCCAAGCCGTCCGTGAAGGTGCTGGACAACGTGAAGTACCACGTGCTGAGTATGAACGTGAAGAGGGCGGGCGGGAGGGCGGTGGCGGCGGGGACCATGACGGACGCGGATTCGCCGGAGGGGGTAGATAAGAGCGCCCAGACCGACCCTCTGGGCCGGAGCGACGTGAGCACGCAGACGGACGGCCGGGAGTCCCCGTTCTCGCAGACCTTCATCGACTTCATCCTGGGGAGCGAGGGCAGTAGCGAGTGTCTGGCGCCGAGGAACATGATCGACCCCACCAAGCTCCGAACGAAGGAGGAGATCCAGAAGTTCAACTTCTTCAACGATATGCGCAACGCGCTCAACTTCGACCGCTCAGGGAACCTGTAAGTGCCGCCAGTCCTGTTGCGCCCCCATTGACACCCTTTGTTTTCGCAGGCCGATTCATGACAGTGTCGTGCAGAACAATTTGAAGGCCGTGCAAAAAAACTGCGTTGTTTTACGAGCCGTCAAAGAGAGCGTGAACATTCTCAATCAGCAGTGCTATGTAAGTAGTGTTCGTGGAATCGGAGAAGTTTTCTTGGAAGATAGCATTTTTTGTGTATGAGGAAGTTTCCGATTTGTTATCAGGGCGCGGGGATTTTTTGCTGATAAGTTGCCTTCATAGAAATTGCAAATATTTATCGTGGCGTCGAGCGGTGGACTTCACCGGCGCGATAACGGGCTCAAGGTCGCAAGGGGTATACAGGGTGGCCGCCGAGGTGGCTTTTCGCGGAAGGCGGGGCGTGGGCGTGACTAAGCGAAAACCGCGAATCAATGAATGCGGCTTTTTCTCGCAATTGACTTAAGCGGGGGACTTGGATTATCTTCTTGTTATTTGCTTTCCGCGGGAAAAACACCTCTGAATATGGTTAAGTAAAGGTCAAAGGTTAAGCGTTGTTGATCTTGACTTTGTTTACCCAAATGATATTTATTTTTCCTCAAAAAACAAATTTCCGAGATTTGTTTATTTCCTCAAAGTTAAGATTTCTAAATATGTACATTGTTATTTGAAAATTCCAGTTTGACATTCGGTTCAATTAAACTATAGTGTGATTATGACCTAATTGTTTAAATATTATTAATTCATTGCTATAACCTCATAACGAAATAATAATTATGTCCCTTAATAATCACCATCATTACCAAAATTAGTCAAATTAATTCCGGCCCACACAATTAGACCGATTAGAGGATTTTTTACGTCAGCTCTAACGAGTTCTGGTAGTTCTTGGGTTTTATCAAATTTATTTCTAGTCATTTTGCACTAAAATTAACTTTGGTTTTTTCGAAAATTCGATTTTTTTTGTTTTATTTTATTGATTGATGAACATTCAAAATCGGTTGTTCCGCTTACGGTGACAAATGTATACGTTTTACGCGCGATTCTTTGGTCGTTCTTTTACGAATTTCCGTTAAATTGTATCATTTTGGCTCCAAATCATAAGGAAAGTGTCTTTTTGATTGCATTTTTGATGTATACTTTGTCGCCCTTTTTCTTGTCACAATTTTGTCGTCTTTAATTTGCATGGCGTTTTTTGCTTCCCTATTTTGTCGTCTTTTTATCGCTTTTTTGGCTGTTTTTGGTATCTTTCTACAAAATTTTTGATTTTTTGATACTTTTTTTGGCGCCTTTTTCTTGTCACCCCTCTTTTTGTTATCTTTTATTTGTTTCCCTTTTAAATTGCATTTTTGTCGTTTTTTGGCGGCATTTGTTGTATCTTTTTGTACTTTCTTTTATGTTTTTCTTTTTTTTTTGTCTCATCTTTTTTAACACAATTTGTTTCTTGTCTTTATAATAATCCCGTTTGCCTTTTTTTGCTCTTTTTTGCCTTTTTTTCTACTCTTTTGTACAGCGTTCGTCTCGTCTTTTTTTGACATATTTTTGCCGGCGCTATTTTTTGTTGCGTTTTTTTGTTCTTGTTTCATTGCATCTTTTCGCCTTTTTTGTGTTTTTTTAAATCACTTGCCGCAATTTTCTTTTTTTCGCTGTTTTTTAATGATATTTATTTTTGTATATATTGATTTTTTTTCTTCTCTTTTTTGTGGCCTTTTATTTGACTTCCTTTATTGCCTGTTTTTTTATGCATTTTTTGTCATGTCGGCTTTTTTTGACTTTTTTTCTTGCATTTTTTTGTCTAGGTTTTTATTGCTTTTTGGTCGTCTTTTTCTGATCAGATTTTTTTGTTGTCTTTTGGTGTTTTGTTTTGTTTTGGCCATTTTTGGCTGCATTTTTGTCGCCTTTTTCTTGTCCTTTTTTGTCCCCTTTTTCTTGTCCTTTTTTGTCCCCTTTTGCTCCTTTTTTTGTCCTTTTTGCTCCTTTTTGTCCTTTTTGCTCATTTTTGTCCCCTTTGATATTTTTTTGTCTGTTTTGCTTCTTTTTTTACCCGTTTTGTCACTTTTTGCTCCAATTTTTGCCTTTTTTGTTTTTTTTTTTAGAAATTTTTAATCCCATTTTTTTGACGTATTTTTTGCCCCACGTTTTGTTTTAATTGTCCTTTTCGAATTGCATTCGTTTTGCCGTTCTTTGAGTCATTTTTCGTTTGTTTTTCGCTATTTTTTTAATTATTGTTTTACAATAATCCTTAACCCTGCTCCTGAAGATGCCACTTACAAAAGTGTGCGAAACGTTGAGCCCAAAAACTCAATTTACACGGTTCCAACCCGGAAATCGATCATGTATTGATTCCGACCTTGGAAGCCTCGGAAATTATAATCATTGTTTTGTTTTTTATATTTTTTATTAATCTTTTTTGTCGCTCTAGTTAGCATTTTTTTTGGTTTGTCGCTTTGTTCTTGCCACCGTTTTTTGTCATTTTTTGTATTTTCCCTTTATATCGCTTTTTTTACTCTTTCTTGCCCTTTTTCCGCTTTTTTGTTAATTTTTTGTACCCTTATGCTCCGTTTTTTAATCATTTTTTTATTATTATTTTTTGGTAGATTTTTTACGTCAGCTTTAACCACGAGTTCTGGTCAAGTTCTTGGGTTTTATCAAATTTGTTTCTAGTTATTTTGCACTAAAATTAACTTTGGTTTTTTCGAAAATTCGATTTTTTTGTTTTATTTTATTGATTGATGAGCACTCAAAATCGCTTATTTCGCTTACGGTGACAAATGTATACGTTTTACGCGCGATTCTTTGGTCGTTTTTTTACGAATTTCCGTTAAATTGTATCATTTTGGCTCCAAATCATAAGGAAAGTGCCTTTTTGGCCCCTTTTCTTAATTGCATTTTTCTTGCTTCTTTTTAGTTGTTCTTTTATGAGTCCTTTTTTGTTCGCATTTTTGATGTATTTTTTGTTGCCCTTTTTCTTGCCACTATTTTGTCATCTTTAATTTGCATGGCGTTTTCTGTTTCCCTATTTTTGTCGTCTTTTTTATCGCGTTTTTGGTATCTTTTTACAAAATTTTTGATTTTTTGATACTTTTTTTGGCGCCCTTTTCTTGTCACCCCTCTTTTTGTTATCTTTTATTTGTTTCCCTTTTAAATTGCATTTTTGTCGTTTTTTGGCGGCATTTGTTGTATCCTTTTTGTAGCTTTCTTTTATGTTTTTCTCTTTTTTTTTTGTCTCATTTTTTATCACTATTTTTTTCTTGTCTTTATAATAATCCCGTTTGCCTTTTTTGCTCTTTTTGCCTTTTTCTCTATTCTTGTACAGCGTTTGTCTCGTCTTTTTTTGAAATATTTTTGCAGGCGCTATTTTTCGTTGCGTTTTTTGTTGTTGTTTCATTGCATTTTTCGCCTTTTTTGTGTTTTTTTAAATCACTTTTGTCGTCATTTTCTTTTTTTCGCTGTTTTTTAATGATATTTATTTTTGTTCTTTTTCTTTGTTGGTCGAAAAAATTCTTTTTTATAAATTAACTTTTTATTTGTATTTTTTTCCATCTATTTTTTTCTTCTCTTTTTTTTGTGGCATTTTGACTTCCTTTATTGTCTGGTTTTTTATGCATTTTTTGTCATATCGGCTTTTTTTGACATTTTTGTCTTGTATTTTTTTGTCTAGGTTTTTATTGCTTTTTGTCGCCTTTTTCTTGTCCTTTTTATGTCCCCTCTTTGTCCCTTGCTGCCCCGTTTTTGTACTTTTTTTGCCCCCATTTGCCTCTTTTTTGTCCCCTTTTGCTCCTTTTTTTGCTTTTTTTTTTGCAATTTTTTTGTCCCCATTTTGCTCCTTTTTTTGTCCTTTTTGCTCGTTTTTGTCCCTTTTGCTAATTTTTTGTCTCTTTTGCTTCTTTTTTTTACCCTTTTTGTCACTTTTTGCTCCCATTTTTGCCTTTTTTGGTTGTTTTTTTTTAGATTTTTTTATCGCATTTTTTGACGTATTTTTTGCCCCACATTTTGTTTTATTTGTCCTTTTCGAATTGCATACGTTTTGACGTTTTTTGAGTCATTTTTCGTTTATTTTTCGCTTTTTTGTTAATCGTTAACCCTGCTCCTGAAGATGCCACTTACGAAAGTGTGCGAAACGTTGAGCCCAAAAACCCAATTTACACGGTTCCAACCCGGAAATCGATCATGTATTGATTCTGACCGTGAAGCCTCGGAAATTATTATTGTTTTGTTTTTTATTTTTTTATTAACCTTTTTTTGTTGCTCTTGTTACCATTTTTTTGGTAGATTTTCTTTTGTCGCTTTGTTCTTGCCACCGTTTTTTGTCATTTTTTGTATTTTTCCTTTATATCGCTTTTTTTATTCTTTCTAGTCCTTTTTTGCTCCTTTTTTGCCTCTTTCTTGTTTATTTTTTGTCCCCTTATGCTCCGTTTTTTAATATTTTTTTATTATTATTATTTTTTTTAGTAATCATTTTTTTGCCGCTTTTATTCGGACTTTTTTTGGTAGACTTTTTTTTGTTCTTGTCACCCTTTTTTGATGGTTTTTGTCGTTTTTTTTGTTTTTTTTTTCTCCCCTCATCATTTCCCTCCTCTCTATTTCCTTTTTATTCATCTTTTTTGTCGTTTTTTTGTTCGCCTTTTTTTGTAGCTATTTTTTTACCCGCTTTTTTTGACTTTTTTTTGTGATCTTTCATGTGTTTTTCTTTTATGTGTCTTTTGTATCTCTTTTTTGCTTGCATTTCTTTGTAGTTTTTTTACTCTTTTCATTTGTCATCTTTTTTTAACTTTTTTTTTAATTCCTTTTTTCTTTGTGTCACTTTTTTTGCCATCTTTTTTTTTTAGGTTGATTTTTTTTGGACCATTTTTTTGTCATCTTTTTTATTAAGCTTTTTTTGGATTTTTTTTTACTTGTGCAATTTTTGTTGCTAGTTTTTTTCTTGCATTTCTTCTCGTAATTTTTTGTCGTGAATTTTTTTCTCGTTTCTTCAATTTTTCAATTTTTAAATTTTTCAAAGTTTTCATTTTATACTTTTTTTGATTGTACAATTTTGCAATTTTTCCAGTTTTTTTTTTATTGGAAAAGTTGAAAAATGTAAAAAGTAAAAAAATTCAAAATGTAGAAAAATTTTGAAATCGAAAAATTGAAAATCAAAAAGAACTGAAGAAACAAAAATTTGATACATTGGAAAACTAAAAAAGAAATGTAAAAGTCGCACAGAATTAATGAATCGGAAAATTGGAAAACCTGAAATCGAAAAGTTACAGAATCGTTAAAATTGTAGTCGAAATAAATTGAAAAATCGAAAAATTAAAATATCAGAAGTTGAGAAATCGGGAAAAAATGAAAAATTCAAAAACAAAATCGAAAAAATTAATGTTTCGAAAAATTGGAAAGAAGAAAAAACGAATCGAACCAAAAATTGAAAAATTAAATACATATTGAGAGTTTGAAACATCAAAATTCGAAAAATTAAACATCGAAAATTTGAAAAATGGAAAAATTCTAGAATCGTAAAATTGAAAGAGCGAAAATGAAAAAAAAATTATAATTATTATTACATATTTAAAGTCCAAACTAGAAAAACTGCACATCAAAAATAGACGAAATGAAAAATTGAAAAATCAAGAAAAAAAAATCTCAAACCGAAGAATTAAAGAATCTACAATAAAAAATCGAAAAATCAAAACATCGGAAGAAATTGAAAAATCCGAAAAAAATGGAAAATCGAAAAATTGGGGAACCGAAAAATTGGAAAGAACAAAAAACGAATCGACCGAAAAATTGAAAAACCCAAAAATTGAAAAATTAAATGTCGAAAAATTCAAAAATCGAATAAATGAAAAATTGGTGGAAAAGTTTGAACACAATCATTTCAAATTGGTTGTGAAAAATTAAAATATCGGAAGAAATTGGAAAATCCGAAAAAATTGGAAAATCGGAAGAATTAATGATTCGAAAAATTGGAAGAAGAAAAAGTAAATCGAACCAAAAAATTGAAAATTGAAAAATTAAATATCGACAGATTGAAACATCAAAAATCGAAAAATTAACATCGAAAATTTGAAAAATGGAAAAATTCTAGAACCGTAAAATTGAAAGAGTGAAAATTTAAAAGAATAAAAATTATTACGTTGAAAGAAACATCTAAAACCGAAAAAAATTAAAAAATTGGAATTGAAAATCGAAAAATTGAAACACGGAAGAAATTGAAAAATCCGAAAAGATTGGAAAATCGAAAACAATTGCAAAATCGAAAAATTGGGGTACCGAAAAATTGGAAAATTAAGTATCGAAAAATTGAAAAATCGAATAAATGAAAAAGTTTTAAAATCCAATAATTGCAAAAAAGGAAAAGTTCTAGAATAGTTGGATTGAAAGAGTGAAAATTTTTAAAAATAATAATTATAATTGCATATGAAAACTAGAAAAACTGCAGAAGAAGAAATGAAAATTAAAAAATCGAGAAAAAAAAAAATTGGAAATCGAAAAATTGAAAAATCCAGAAATTGAAAACATTTCACATTTAAAAAATGCGTTTTTCCTGTATTTTTTCGTCTTTTCTGTTGTTTTTTTTCATCCCTTCTTTCGCTTTTACTTTTTTTTTTAGTCAAAAATTCTCCACACCACCACATCCATTTTGAAATTATTGTGTCAAACTTTTCCACGAATTTTTCCCTCTAAAACAACAACCAATAGCGAAACAAGACGTAAGAGGATAAATATTAAGAAATAGATTTCAGAAAATTTAATTAATATATATTTTCGTATAATAAAAATTACTTATCGATTAAAGCTATTTACTCTTTATTTATTGCAATCGGGTACTTCAGAAGATTACAGAAATTTAATTAAAGTGTTTAGAAAACGATAAAAGCAAAAAAATATGACAGAAAAAAGTTAATAGTTTATTTACAAATTATCGAGATAACTGCATTGCTTAAAAAAAGCAATAATCACACTATAATTTTACTTGAACTATGACCACTTGATCCAACCAAAAAACTATACAAAAAAAGTACAAAAAAACGTTGTTGTGTTGGCTTTTTTGTTGTAGTCCGTCTTGTATGGTTTACTTATTTACTAACAATTTTAACCCTTTTTGAAAACGTAGCACGATGTCAAAATGCGTACTTATTTACTCATCCATTAACTTAATTGTTTTTTAATTTTCAATTTGAACTTTTAGGTAATTTCAAACTACTCTATAGTGAATAGTTTCCTAAAAATGGGCAACCACGTGCTACTATTATTTATTCCGTTAAATAATCTTATCGCGTGCTTCCCCATTTTTCCTAAACTTCTCATTATAGGACACTGGACGTATCTGGAATCTTCTGGATGGGTTGGTGTTCCCGGCCAACACTTTACACCACCCTCCACACACCAAACACCGGCACTATCGTGTCAACGCATCGCCAACAATTTTGACAACTACATAGTCAAATTTATAACACTTATACTGAAGATGTCAGAGTTGTTGTCGAAACGCGTTGACACGACAGCGCCAGTGTCCGGTGTGCGGAGTGTAGTGTAAAGTGTTGGTAGTTTCTTCGAAGCCAAAAAGGTAAAAATTCCGGCTAATTTTTATAATCTTTGGTTCTGAAACGCCAATATTTTTTGTTTCATTTTGGATATGTAAATTAAATTGGAAGCGCATCGCTCGTCATCGTCTCGTTAATTTGTTCTCTAAATCTAAAAATAGCTTCCGTGATTACCATAATTGATGTTTTATATGTCCGTATCTGTGACTTATTGACATCAAATAACGTAGGGAAGTACAGCATTATCGGATTCAACTGTTTGAGATAAGCAAACACATGTAGATTTTCCGATAATCACGTTTTTGCGCAGTGCGTAGATTAATTTTAACGGTTTTCGCGAAAATGTTCGCCCTCTGATGTGAATTTCGCGGTAGTGGCGATAAAAATTGCGAAAAATGTCGTTCGGAGTAATGATAAATTTTTTTCGCCGGTTCGAGGAATTATAGGACGAATTTACATGCGCCCTAAAAATGTTGGTGGAATTTACATGCACCCACCGAACGTGAATATTTATATAAAATTTGCAAAATTGTTTAAAAAATTGTTTTGGGAGTTAACAAACACGCAGGTGACGTTTGGTGATAAATCTAGTACCAACGTAATTTTGTTAAATTTTTATTGTTAAGGGGGCGTTTGACGCTGAGGGATAATCCAACGCCGACTCAATATCGCTAAAATTAGAAAACAATTTTTCTCTAAATAATCAAGCGTGCTATTTACGCCGACTCACGTCCTCCATTTTTGCGCTGCATTCTCGTTCGTCATGCTATGCGTCACTTGCAATATAAACAACAAACAAGTTTACATCATAGCTGCTATTTATTGTTGTCGAAAAAACCGACACGTGTTGCTACTTTTTTTTTTGTGGCGATACGCGTCAGCGTTTGCAGCCCGAGCCTCAAGCGAGCGTTTCAAACCCCAACCGTTTTTTCACCAGGCCCCGATTCACCTGGCCGTTTTACAAGACGTGGACTTGGACATTCTCAAAATTCTGCTGGACCACGGCGCCGACGTCAGGTTATCGGACCCGGAGGGCAACACCGCCATTCATTTAGCCATCGAGCATCGGCGCTCCGCCATGTTGAAGCTGTTGCTGAACGGAGCCAAGCAGATGAAGTTCAATTTGGACGTTTTTAATTACGAGGGGTTCACGCCTCTAATTTTGGCCTGTTTGAATAAGTCGTACGACGATGCCAAGTTGCTGCTCCAAAGTGGGGCGGATCCTAATGTGAAAGACATGAAGTCGGGGAGGACTGCGTTGTTCCATGCCGCGGAATGTCACGATGGTGAGTGGGGTCGAGGTCGACGATAAGTCGAGGGGGTTAAAATTGAAAAATTCCAGTGATTTTTAAAAGTAACGCTGAGGATTTTTTGGTCTTAGTTTTGTTTGCTCTAGGATTGGGTAAATTTTATGTTGCTATTGTTTTAGTTGTAATCCCAAGTTCAGGTTAAATTAGAAGATCCGCGAGTTATTTCTGGGATTTGCGATGTGCGTCGGTGTATGACGAGGTCGTTGACTGCGAAAATAACCAGTAAGCTCGGGGAATCACACGATAGAAATTCAAGGTGAACTTGATTCCGATCGCGTAAGCACGTGTAATGTTTATTTAACTTCGACTATTAATATTTTACAGTATGCCAGTGATTTCTAAAAAAAAAAAATTTCCGAAACGGATGTGAGTTATAAATTTTGTGATTAGAAATAATTTCATTGTTTGATATTCTATCAGCTGTTTTGATATTGTGGTGTGATTTTGATCGGTTTTGATTGTATTTAAGCTCTTAACAACATTATGTTGCAGTTTAATGGCTACTTAATTTTATATTTGATTCAAAACATATGCAAAAATTAATGGACGAATTCACCTATACCCTAAAAATTTTGGACCAGTTTACATGCATCCAATATCTTTTTTATAAAATACTTTAATGGAGTCAAATTTGCGCAATTTTTGTTTTCAGTTTCATTTTAATTGTTAAATGGTCTTGAAAAAAGCATAAGCGATGTAATTCTGAGTAAAATTTAATGTTGAAACGACGCAGAATTGATGACGTATTTTATTCCTTGGTGCTGGAACTTACCAGGACGCATTCACCTACGTCCTAAAAATTTTGGACCAGTTTACATGCACCCGATATTTTTTTATAAAATACTTTAATGGAGTTAAATTTGCTCATTTTTAATCCTAGACTGTGACACATTTCGTGCGGATTCATTTCGATTTTTTTTCCTTATATAAGGTGTTCCATTTAAACACTCGCATAATTAATTTTTTTCTTACAAAATGAGGAAAACTGTGTAGTACACGACGACCTTTCCATAAATAATTTCCAAGGTCCGCGATATCGAAAAATTTTGATTCAGAGTTGGCTACGTTAAGATTATGAAGTTGGCTTCAAAAGTTTGCAGACGCCGGCTCTAGATTGACACTTGATGTCGTCGTTATTGTTTTACTGTCACTCGTTTTGTCATTTAATAAGTCAGTGATGGCAGTTGAAGCACGCATTGAAAGCTATCTCTGAACCAATTTTTGTTTTCAGTTTCATTTTAATTGTTAAATGGTCTTGAAAAAAGCATAAGTGATGTAATTCTGAGTAAAATTTAATGTTGAAACGACGCAGAATTGATGACGTATTTTATTCCTTGGTGCTGGAACTTACCAGGACGCATTCACCTACGTCCTAAAAATTTTGGACCAGTTTACATGCACCCGATATTTTTTTATAAAATACTTTAATGGAGTTAAATTTGCTCATTTTTAATCCTAGACTGTGACACATTTCGTGCGGATTCATTTCGATTTTTTTTCCTTATATAAGGTGTTCCATTTAAACACTCGCATAATTAATTTTTTTCTTACAAAATAAGGAAAACTGTGTAGTACACGACGACCTTTCCATAAATAGTTTCCAAGGTCCGCGATATCGAAAAATTTTGATTCAGAGTTGGCTACGTTAAGATTATGAAGTTAGCTTCAAAAGTTTGCCAGTGCCAGTGATGCTAATTGAAGCACGCAAGGAAAGCCATTTCTGAACAAATTTTTTTTCACTTTCATTTTAATTTGGGGTTAAATTTGCTAATTTTTAATCCTCGAGTTTGACATATTTCTTGAGAATTTATTTCAATGTACGACTCAAAACAATTTTTTTATATATAGTGTGTCTCATTTAAAAACTAGCATATTTAATTTCCTTCTTATAAAATAAAGAAAAGTGTGTAGCATACGACGGTGTTTCCATAAATAGTTTCCAAAGTCCGTGCTATCGAAAAATTTTAATTCAGAATTGGCTACGTTAAGATTGTGAAGTTAGCTACAAAAGTCTGGGGTCGATTGACATTTGATGTGGTCTTTATTGTTGTACTGTCATTTGTTTTATCATTTAATAAGTCAGTGATGCCAATTGAAGCACGCAAGGAAAGCCATTTCTGAACCAATTTTTTTTCACTTTCATTTTAATTAAAGAATGATTTTGACAATAGTATAAATGATACAATTGTGAGTAAAATTTAACGTAAAAATGACGCTAGAATTGATCACGTATTTTATTCCTTGCTGCTGAAATTACCAGGACGAATTCACCTACGCCCTAGAAATTTTGGACCAGTTTACATGCCCCCGATATTTTTTTATAAAAGGCTTCAGTGGGGTTAAATTTGCTAATTTTTAATCCCAGAGTTCGACACATTTCTTGAAAATTCATTTCGATGTACGACTCAAAATAATTTTTTCTTATACAGTGTGTCTCATTTAAAAACTCACATGTTTAATTTCTTTCTTAGAAAATAAAGAAAAGGGTATAGCATACGACGGTGTGTCCATAAATAGTTTACAAAGTCCGTGCTATCGAAAAATTTTAATTCAGAGTTAGCTACGTTAAGATTGTGAAGTTAGCTACAAAAGTCTGGGGTCGATTGACATTTGATGTGGTCTTTATTGTTGTACTGTCAGTTGTTTTATCATTTAATAAGTCAGTGATGCCAATTGAAGCACGCAGGGAAAGTCATTTCTGAACCAATTTTTTTTTCAGTTTCGTTTTAATTATTGAATGATCTTGAAAACAATATAAGTGAGATAATTGTGAATAAAATTTAACATAAAAACGACGCTAAAATTGATCACGTATTTTATTCCTTGGTGTTGAAATTATCAGGACGAATTCACCTACACCCTAAAAATTTTGGACCAGTTTACATGCCCCCGATATTTTTTTATAAAACGCTTCAGTGGGGTTAAATTTGCTAATTTTTAATCCTAAAGTTCGATACATTTATTGAAAATTCATTTCTATGTACGACTCAAAATAATTTTTTTTTTATATAGTGTGTCTCATTTAAAAACTCGCATACATATTTAATTTCCTTCTTATAAAATAAAGAAAAGTGTGTAGCATACGACGGTGTTTCCATAAATAGTTTCCAAAGTCCGTGCTATCGAAAAATTTTAAATCAGAGTTGGTTACGTCAAGATTGTGAAGTTAGCTACAAAAGTCTGGGGTCGATTGACATTTGATGTGGTCTTTATTGTGTTGTACTGTCATTTGTTTTATCATTTAATAAGTCAGTGATGCCAATTGAAGCACGCAAGGAAAGCCATTTCTGAACCAATTTTTTTTCACTTTCATTTTAATTAAAGAATGATTTTGAAAATAGTATAAATGATACAATTGTGAGTAAAATTTAACATAAAAACGGCGCTAGAATTGATGACGTATTTTATTCCTTGCTGTTGGAATTACCAGGACGAATTCACCTACGTCCTAAAAATTTTGGACCAGTTTACATCCCCCGATATTTTTTATAAAAGGCTTCAGTGGGGTTAAATTTGCTAATTTTTAATCCTAGAGTTCGATACATTTATTGAAAATTCATTTCTATGTACGACTCAAAATAATTTTTTTTATATATAGTGTGTCTCATTTAAAAACTCACATATTTAATTTCCTTCTTATAAAATAAAGAAAAGTGTGTAGCATACGACGGTGTTTCCATAAATAGTTTCCGAAGTCCGTGCTATCGAAAAATTTAGATTCAGAGTTGGCTACGTTAAGATTGTGAAGTTAGCTACAAAAGTCTGGGGTCGATTGACATTTGATGTGGTCTTTATTGTTGTACTGTCATTTGTTTTATCATTTAATAAGTCAGTGATGCCAGTTGAAGCACGCAAGGAAAGCCATTTCTGAACCAATTTTTTTTCACTTTCATTTTAATTAAAGAATGGTTTTGAAAATAGTATAAATGATACAATTGTGAGTAAAATTTAACATAAAAACGACGCTAGAATTGATGACGTATTTTATTCCTTGCTGCTGGAATTACCAGGACGAATTCACCTACGCCCTAAAAATTTTGGACCAGTTTACATGCCCCCGATATTTTTTTATAAAACGCTTCAGTGGGGTTAAATTTGCTAATTTTTAATCCTAGAGTTCGATACATTTATTGAAAATTCATTTCTATGTACGACTCAAAATAATTTTTTTTTATATAGTGTGTCTCATTTAAAAACTCGCATATTTAATTTCCTTCTTATAAAATAAAGAAAAGTGTGTAGCATACGACGGTGTTTCGATCAATAGTTTCCAAAGTCCGTGCTATCGAAAAATTTTAAATCAGAGTTGGTTACGTCAAGATTGTGAAGTTAGCTACAAAAATCTGGGGTCGACTGACATTTGATGTGGTCTTTATTGTTGTACTGTCATTTGTTTTATCATTTAATAAGTCAGTGATGCCACTTGAAGCGCGCAAGGAAAGCCATTTCTGAACCAATTTTTTTTCACTTTCATTTTAATTAAAGAATAATTTTGACAATAGTATAAATGATACAATTGTGAGTAAAATTTAACCTAAAAACGGCGCTAGAATTGATGACGTATTTTATTCCTTGCTGCGGGAATTACCAGGACGAATTCACCTACGTCCTAAAAATTTTGGACCAGTTTACATGCCCCCGATATTTTTTTATAAAAGGCTTCAATGGAGTTAAATTTGCTAATTTTTAATCCCAGAGTTCGACACATTTCTTGAAAATTCATTTCGATGTACGACTCAAAATAATTTTTTCTTATACAGTGTGTCTCATTTAAAAACTCACATATTTAATTTCTTTCTTACAAAATAAAGAAAAGCGTTTAGCATACGACGGTGTTACCATAAATAGTTTCTGTGCTATCGAAAAATTTTAATTCAGAGTTGGCTACGTTAAGATTGTGAAGTTAGCTACAAAAGTCTGCAGACGCCAGGGCTCGATTGACATTTGATGTATTCTTTATTGTTGTATTGTCGTTTGTTTTATCATTAAATAAGTCAGTGATGCCAATTGAAGCACGCAGGGAAAGCCATTTCTGAACCAATTTTTTTTTCGGTTTCATTTTAATTATTGAATGATCTTGAAAATAATATAAGTGATATAATTGTGAGTAAAATTTAACATAAAAACGACGCTAAAATTGAACACGTATTTTATTCCTTGCTGTTGGAATTACCAGGACGAATTCACCTACGCCCTAAAAATTTTGGACCAGTTTACATGTCGCCGATATTTTTTTATAAAAGGCTTCAATGGGGTTAAATTTGCTAATTTTTAATCCTAGAGTTCGACACATTTCTTGAGAATTCATTTCGATGTACGACTCAAAATAATTTTTTCTTATATAGTGTGTCTCATTTAAAAACTCACATATTTAATTTCTTTCTTACAAAATAAAGAAAAGTGTTTAGCATACGACGGTGTTTCCATAAATAGTTTCCGTGCTATCGAAAAATTTTAATTCAGAGTTGGCTACGTTAAGATTGTGAAGTTAGCTACGAAAGTCTGCAGACGCCAGGGCTCGATTGACATTTGATGTAGTCTTTATTGTTGTACTGTCATTTGTTGTATTATTTAATAATTCAGTGATGCCTATTGAAGCACGCAGGGAAAGCCATTTCTGAACATTTTTTTTTTCACTTTCATTTTAATTATTGAATGATCTTGAAAACAGTGTAAGTGATATAATTGTGAGTAAAATTTAACATAAAAACGACGCTAGAATTGATCACGTATTTTATTCCTTGCTGCTGGAATTACCAGGACGAATTCACCTACGCCCTAAAAATTTTGGACCAGTTTACATGCCCCCGATATTTTTTTATAAAAGGCTTCAATGGGGTTAAATTTGCTAATTTTTTTTCATAGAGTTCGACACATTTCTTGAGAATTCATTTCGATGTGCGACTCAAAATAATTTTTTTCTTATATAGTGTGTCTCATTTAAAAACTCACATATTTAATTTCCTTCTTACAAAATAAAGAAAAGTGTGTAGCATACGACGGTGTTTCCATAAATAGTTTCCGAAGTCCGTGCTATCGAAAAATTTTGATTCAGAGTTAGCTACGTTAAGATCGTGAAGTTAGCTGCAAAAGTCTGCAGACGCCAGGCCTCGATTGACATTTGATGTATTCTTTATTGTTGTACTGTCGTTTGTTTTGTCATTTAATAAATCAGTGATGCCAATTGAAGCACGCAGGAAAAGCCATTTCTGAACCAATTTTTTTTTTCAGTTTCGTTTTAATTAATGAATGATATTGAAAACAATATAAGTGATGTAATTGTGAGTAAAATTTAACATAAAAACGACCCTAGAAATGATCACGTATTTTATTCCTTGCTGTCGGAATTACCAGGACGAATTCACCTACGCCCTTAAAATTTTGGACCAGTTTACATGCCCCCGATGTTTTTTTTATAAAAGGCTTCAATGGGGTTAAATTTGCTAATTTTTAATCCTAGAGTTCGACACATTTCTTGAGAATTCATTTGGATGTACGACTCAAAATAATTTTTTCTTATATAGTGTGTCTCATTTAAAAACTTACATATTTAATTTCCTTCTTACAAAATAAAGAAAAGTGTGTAGCATACGACGGTGTTTCCATAAATAGTTTCCGAAGTCCGTGCTATCGATAAATTTTAATTCAGAGTTGGCTACGTTAAGATTGTGAAGTTAGCTACGAAAGTCTGCAGACGCCAGGGCTCGATTGACATTTGATGTATTGTTTATTGTTGTACTGTCGTTTGTTTTGTCATTTAATAAATCAGTGATGCCAATTGAAGCACGCAGGAAAAGCCATTTCTGAACCAATTTTTTTTTCAGTTTCGTTTTAATTAATGAATGATATTGAAAACAATATAAGTGATATAATTGTGAGTAAAATTTAACATAAAAACGACCCTAGAAATGATCACGTATTTTATTCCTTGCTGTCGGAATTACCAGGACGAATTCACCTACGCCCTTAAAATTTTGGACCAGTTTACATGCCCCCGATGTTTTTTTTATAAAAGGCTTCAATGGGGTTAAATTTGCTAATTTTTAATCCTAGAGTTCGACACATTTCTTGAGAATTAATTTCGTTGTACGACTCAAAGTAATTTTTTTCTTGTATAGTGTGTCTCATTTAAAAACTCAGATATTTAATTTCTTTCTTACAAAATAAAGAAAAGTGTTTAGCATACGACGGTGTTTCCATAAATAGTTTCCAAAGTCCGTGCTATCGAAAAATTTTGATTCAGAGTTGGCTACGTTACGATTGTGAAGTTAGCTACAAAAGTCTGCAGACACCTGGGCTCAATTGACATTTGATGTGGTCTTTATTGTTGTACTGTCATTTGTTTTATCATTTAATAAGTCAGTAATGCCAATTGAAGCACTCAGGGAAACCCATTTCTGAACCAATTTTTTTTTCAGTTTCGTTTTAATTATTGAATGATCTTGAAAACAATATAAGTGATATAATTGTGAGTCAAATTTAACATAAAAACGACGCTAGAATTGATCACGTATTTTATTCCTTGGTGTTGAAATTATCAGGACGAATTCACCTACGCCCTAAAAATTTTGGACCAGTATACATGCCCCCGATATTTTTTTATAAAAGGCTTCAATGGGGTTAAATTTGCTAATTTTTAGTCCTAGAGTTCCACACATTTCTTGAGAGTTCATTTCGATGTACGACTCAAAATAATTTTTTCTTATATAGTGTGTCTCATTTAAAAACTCACATATTTAATTTCTTTCTTACAAAATAAAGAAAAGTGTTTAGCATACGACGGTGTTTCCATAAATAGTTTCCAAAGTCCGTGCTGTGGAAAAATTTTAATTCAGAGTTGGCTATGTTAAAATTGTGGAGTTGGTTACAAAAGTCTGCAGACACCTGGGCTCAATTGACATTTGACGTAGTCTTTAGTGTTGTACTCTCTCATGTTATCTCTGAATCAATTAATTTTTTAGTGTAATTTTAGTAATTGGATGGTCTTGAAAAAAATATAAGGGACATAAAAAGTCGTAATTTAACTTAATTGAGGTATTTTTATGGAAAGTATTTATACTTTATTTAGAAAGTATATAGTCGCATATCAGTGATTCACTTTCCGGAAACCCCAGCTAATGAAAGCCAACTGTGAATCACAATGTTTTCGATCGTGCAACATGTGGCAATTTACATGGTTATAAACAAGTTTATAACTTACTGTTTATAGACACAATTCCTAGACCTTGTGACAGGTTTTTATCGGTTTTGTAATTACAGTTAGATTAACTGTAATCTCGATTACAAACCCAGTCCACTCGATTGCTATTAAAAGGAGTGGAAATGTAATCACCGATTTAAAATATTGTAAATATATTGAGAAAAAACATGATGCAACAAAATACATTAACCGATGATGATAATAAAATAACACATACACCAGCGTTTTAAAACTACTGGAATGATTACCCCCGCGCCACCTATTCTTGACCTTCGCAATTAATCAAAGCCGCCTTTTCCAGTAAACTTAGTGGAGCTCCTAATGCAGCACGGCGCCGACACAAAAATACGAAATTTCTTCGGCACGAGTCCACACGACGCCATGTTCGAGCTCGACGACATGCCTTTAAAAATCAAATTCTGTATACTAGGCAGAGACCACCAGAGGTTCCAGAACAAGAAAAAATTATCGGACTCGAAGTTGTCCGAACCGACGCCTAGGTTAAAAAAAGCGAAACTAGAAACCACGCCAGTCTTGAAAAAAGTAACTACTAGCGATTTAATGGGTAGGTCAAGAAGGAAGTAGTCCTTATGTTTGATTTTAGTTCAGTTATGTTATTTTATGCAGTTTAAGGCACGCGTTTGTTTGTAATCACGAACGCGGATTTCGTTTTTGTTTTCGGAGTTCAAGCCGTCATGAAACATATTTAAGTACCGGGAAGTCAGTGCTTTGAATGCGAAAGCAAAACGATTTCTGCGACGAAGGAGTGGATGATGACGTGTTTTTAATTTTACACAGAACTTCAGGGTGTTATAATTTATTTTCAAGATTTTGAATTAGTTTGTACATTTCTTTGAAGTTTACTAATTTATATGAGCTTGGCGGAAGTTGTGTGAAAGAGTAATTCATTTGTTTATATTGTTCTAATGTTTATAAATAAACGCAAGAATTATTAATGTGCAATTTTATTTTATTTATTCATAGGTTTTTGTTTAATGAAGGTTCACCAACGCCGCTATTTAACTCAAAAGGTAAGGTGCCAAAGACCGGAAAGAGGCAAATTGTGTTACGATTGTTATCGTTATTGCTGATAAAAATGTAGGGCAAACGAACGTTACGTTAGTGTTTACTGTTGGGAAATCATCATGTAATCTTGGTTACGTAATCTAATTCAAGTACGTGTTGTAAAGTTGGCGTGGCTCTGTTTTTCCACTGAACAAACCAGATAAAACATGAACGACTTAAAAATGTATGTTGCCAACCGCACAAAAATTATCTAAGTTTAAGTACTTGACAAGAAAAATTGCAGATTATAAATCTAGAAACTTGAAAACCCGACGAAGTGTCTCATTATGCTAAACACGACATAATCCAACATCTGCGTTTATCTTATCATTAAACTCAGCTTTTATCACAAAATCTTGACACTGATGAAATTACCTCTGTTCTCAACAGGATTATAAGAGATCGCACATCAAGCTGGCCTGGAAATTTCTGATCGATGAGTGCTTATCGTCTGACATTAATGTCAGGCATAACCTAACTTCTTACGATTTTCGACCGGACAGTAAGGAAAAGTGGCGGATTTAAGTTCATTATTACAAAAACTTGCCATGTTTTAAGTTTCTTGTCGAAATACGTCTACACATTAAGAAACAAAGGCAAAATGTAGCCCCACCCACCCGCTCTATCCTAATTGTGATGATTTTTTTATTCGTCGTGAGCCAAAGGGGGCGGAGCTTGACTGCAAAATCCTTATTTCTCTACGAGAAATTAAAATTAAGTTTTTAAATATAATCGCTAAATCCACATTTCTTTGCAAAAATTTACCATTTGAACCATGTTTGAAGTTTTTTGTTGTGAAAAGATGACTAAGTATATTACGAAAAAAAGCAAAATATAAGCCCCGCCCACCCGCCCCATCTCAATTCTGGTGATTTTTTTAAGTGGAAAATCCTTATTTCTTTACAAAAAATAAATATCATGTTTTTGAGTATCGTGTTCAGGGGCGTGCTGATAGCCAAAAATTTTTCCAGTAGAAAAATATATAAAACAAAATCGTCGAGATGTGGTCCAAGCCACCAGGATGTTTCCCGGCTTCCCGGCACGTCAGTACACCCCTGATCGTGTTGTTCAAAGAATGCTATGTATACTAAAAAAAAAAAAACAAGGCAAAAATTAAGCCACGCCCTTATCCATCCCAGGCTCAATCGTGATAAATTTTTCATTCGTTGTCAAATCGAGGGGCGGGGCTTAATTGCAAGATCCGTATTTGTCCACAAAAATTTACCATTTTAAACGTGTTTTACGATAAGAATATAAAAATCATCACAATGGAGATGGGGTGGGTGGGCGGGGTTTACATTTTGCCTTTTTTTCTTAATAAACATAGTATTCTTTGAACAACCCTATACTCGAAAACATATTTTTAATTTCTTATAAAGAAATAAGTATTTGGCAGTTAAGCTCCGCCCTCTTGGTTCACGGCGAATAAAAAAAATCATCACAATTGAGACAGGGCGGGTGGGCGGGCTTATATTTTGCCTTTTCGTTTCAATATGTGATATGTGTAGACTTCTTTTCATAACATGAAACTTAAACATGTTTAAAATGGAAAATTTGTTCAAGGAAGCATCGATTTTGCATATTTCCTTGCAAAAATTTACCATTTTTACCATGTTTTAAGTTTCTTGTTGTGAAAAGATTGCTATGTATATAAAAAAAGGCAAAATATAAGCCCCGCCCACCCACCCTATCTCAATTCTGATGATTTTTTTATTCGGCGTAATCCGAGGGGCGGAGCTTAATTGCAAAATTCTTACTTTTCTATGAGAAATTATCATGTGAAATATGTTCTTCAGTAGTCGTGTTATACAAAGAAAACCAAAAGAGAAGCCCCACCCATCCCTCCCGATCGCAATCGTGATGAATTTTCCATTCGTTGTGAGGCCGAGGGGCGGAGCATATTTGCAACATTGATATTTCTCTACAAACATTTACCATTTTAAACCTGTTTTAAGTTTCTAAGAATAAAATTTGCAATATCGATATTTGCAACATCGATATTTCGCAATTTACCATTTTAAACATCTTTCTAGTTTCTTGTTGTGAAAAAATAACTGTACATGTTAAGAAAAAAGGGCAAAATGTAAGCCCCGCCCACCCGCCCTATCTCAATTTTGATGATTTCTTTTATTCGTCGTGAGCCAGGGGGGCGGAGCTTAAGTGGAAAATTCTTATTTCTGTACAAGAAATAAAAGACATGCTTTTGAGTATCGTGTTGTTCAACGAATTAAAGCCAGAGATTAAGCCCCAACTTACCTGCCCTGACCTAAATAGTAATGAAGTTTTTATTCGTTGTCAGACCTAGGGGCGGAGCCTAATTGCAAAATCCATATTTCTCTACAAACATTTACCATTTTAACATTTACCTGTTTTAAGTTTCTAAGAATGAAATAATCATCACAATCGAGGCGGGGTGGGTGGGCGGGGTTAATATTTTGCCTTTTTTTCTAGACATACATAGTATTCTTTGAACAAAAGGATACTCAAAACCGTATTTCAAATTTCTTGTGAAGAAATAAAAATTGGCAGATCAGTTCCGCCTCCTTGGTTTACGGTGAATAAAAAAAAATCATCACAATTGAGATAGGGCGGGTGGGCGGGCTCACATTTTTCTTTTCTGTTGTAAAGTGTGTAGACTTGTTTTCACAACATGAAACTTAAATCATGGAGAATTTGTATAAAAAAATATCGATTTTGCAATTAGGCTCCGCCCCATAATTGCAAAATCCATATTTTCTTGAAAACATGCACCATTTTAACTATGTTTTAAGTTTGTTGTTGTGAAAAGATGGCTATGCATATTAAGAAAATAAAGGCAAAATATAAGCCCCGCCCACCCGCCCTATCTCAGTTCTGATGATTTTTTTATTCGTCGTGAGCCAAGAGGGCGGAGCTTAAGTGGAAAATCCTTATTTCTCTACAAGAAATAAAAAACATGTTTTTGAGTATCGTGTTCAGCCAGAAATTTTTCCAGTAGAAAAATATATAAAACAAAATCTTCGAGATGTGGTCCAGGCCACCAGGATGTTTCCCCCTGATCGTGTTGTTCAAAAAATGTTATGTATACTAAAAAAAAAGCAAACCAAAAATTAAGCCCCGCCCTTATCCATCCCAGGCTCAATTGTGATGAATTTTTCATTCGTTGTCAAATCGAGGGGCGGGGCTTAATTGTAAGATCCGTATTTGTGCACAAAAATTTACCATTTTAAAGTGTCTTAGGATTATAAGAACCATGTTTGAAGTTTCTTTTTAATTTAATTAGGCTCGGCCCCATAATTGCAAAATCCATATTTCCTTGAGAAAATGTATCACATTAACCATGTTTTAAGTTTCTTGTGAAAAGATGGCTATGTATGATAAGAACATAAAGGCAAAATGTAAGCCCCGCCCACCCGCCCTTTCTAAATTCTGATGATTTTTTAAGTGGAAATTTCTTATTATCTTTATAAAAAATACATAACATGTTTTTGAGTATCGTGTGATGAACTTTTCATTCGTTGTCAAATCGAGAGGCGGGGCTTAATTGCAAGATCCACATTTCTCTACAAAAATTTACCATTTTAAACGTGTCTTACGATTATAAGAATATAAAAATCATCACAATGGAGATGGGGTGGGTGGGCGGGGTTTACATTTTGGCTTTATTTCTTAATATACATAATATTTTTGGAACAACCCGATACTCAAAAATATAGTTTTAATTTATTGCAAAAAATAAGTATTTTGAAGTTAAGCTCCGCCCTCTGGGTTCACGGCGAATAAAAAAATCATCACAATTGAGACAGGGCGGGTGGGCGGGCTTATATTTTGCCTTTTCGTTTTAATACGTGTAGTGTTCTTTTCACAACATAAAACTTAAGACGTGTTTAAAGTGGAAAATTTGCAATTAGGCTCCGCCCCATAATTGCAAAATCCATAATTCCTTGCAAAAATGTACCATGGCGAAATATAAGCCCCGCCCACCCGCCCTGTCTCAATTCTGATGCAAAAACGATACTTTCCTGCAAAAATTGACCATTTTAAACATCTTTTGAGTTTCTTGTTGTAAAATTTAATTATCTATTAAGGAAGCGGCAAATTCTATTTAAAATTCAATGTCCCATTTTCCAGTCAACATGATGTACGACCTTTTCAGACTGACAATTTTTCCACCAAAAAACTCGTTTTTAGTCCTCATTAAATCATAATTAAGATTCTAAGGAAGTCGTTTTGAGGTGAAAATCTCCAGATGATTAACCTACTTGGCGAACAAGAAAACAACATTTTCAGTCGAGGAAACCCAGTTCCCACAACCAGTTTTCAATCCATCGCACGTGCTGAGTGAATTGTGTGTTGCCTATACCAAAATCCGATAAATATGGTGAAATTTTGTTACATAAACTGGTCAAAATGAATTACGACGTTTAGAAACCACGCAACTAAAGCTTAATCTTCACGTAACCACAAGTTTGATTTAAAATCTGTTAACTAGTGACTCGGGAGGATGGTTTTTAGAAAGACGCTCTACTAACATAAACCTTATCCATTTATTTTATTTAGAAACTGTTAGTGCTACAAATGTATATGAAAATAAATAAAGAATATTTTATCATCCTACGTCTAGGGATATTTTTGTCATTTCCAAAATTGTGTCCACGTGTAACCATTTTGATTTTCTTTCATCCGAAAAATAAAGTAAATTTGTATGTTTGTTAAATTGTCCTAAGTGTACTGGTGCACTGCCAGTTTGACCACGGCGTATATCGTCAAGGCCTGGGTTACCTTCTGGAACCAGTACAACCTAAAACCGAAATTTAGAAAAGTCCTACAATTTCGGAAAAACAAACCTGTTGAGTTTGACTTTGGCACTCGGTAAGCTGCTCATGTCGTCCTTGAGCACGTACTGCCGGACTCCTAGTATGAAGTCCTTGACGTAGAAGTTCCAACTAAACCCGTTCTCCGTCGACATGTCCACGTCGAAGTTCTTCCCGTCCTCCGCCTCCCGCACGGCTCCCACCAGCGCCCCCATCGTGGACGTCTTGAAGTCCCACTCGTTCGTCGAGAAGAACTTGCCCGCGTCCAGCGCGCTGTAGAACTTCCTGCTGATTTTCAGCATTCTGAAACGCAAAAATGAGCGCACGCCCCACTCGTGACGTCACCTTACATCGGCTTCTGCTTCGTGCAGTAGAGGAACACGTCGAGGAAGGCCGACGGCAGCAGGTGGAACAGGTGGGCGCAGATCACGTGCATGACCCGGCTGGTCCGGTAGGTGAAGCCCGGGTACCACGTGACGTACTTGCTGGGGTACTCCAGCGAGTACTTGTGGGTGAGCTGACCGAACTCGCGCCACGTGATGGGGTTGACGCCGCCACTGGTGCAGTTGTACACGCGCATGGTGTTGGAGCGGTGGGCGGCGGTGTGCCAGGCGGCGGTGATGAGGGTGTTGACCACCACGTCCACGGGGATGAGGTCCATGGTGCAGCGGTCGTCGCAGATGATGCTCTTGATGGTGCCGCGGCCGCACTCCATGAAGATGCCGGTGATGCCGCTGACGTTGTCCACCCAGCCGGGGTAGGGTTCTTTCCAGGCGCCTGTAACTGGGGGGCGGTGACAAAAGAAGGAAAGGGGCGGCGGTACTCACTGATGGAGGGGCGGACGACGGCGGCAGGGATCCGAGACGAGCTTTTGAGGACTAGGTGCTCGGCCATGGCTTTCGTGAGGGTGTAGGTGTTGGGGTGTTTACCCTGTAGAGAATGACACATGACTTGTATGTTTGGTTGCATAACCCAATTTTTTCGGATCACCGAAAAAATCTTGTAACTAACACGTTGATTAACGGATAGTCTCAAAAAACACCCCTTGCGTTAGGAGAGAAAGTCGTGGACAAGCTATATTAAAAATTTCTTAAAAATAGTGGTCAAGCACGCCTCGAACTCTCTCCACCGTATGTTCTGTTTGTTTATTTCGTAGTTGAGCGGAAAATCCCGAAACTAATTAACAGTGAATGTAAAAACGGGGAAATTTCCATCTTCACTGTACAACAAAATAAAGAATGCACATGAATCCTCAATTACAAATCTTCGCACCACCTGCTCGACGCCGCATTTCCAGACCCCGGCTTAGAAAGTGTGTCGACTTTTTCTCCACAACCCAAATATCTTCTTTTTTGAATAATAACGGTTTTAATTTCCCGTCGAATTTGAAAGGTTGCACATAATGAGCGTTTGACCTAGTTACCGGATGCATTGTGCTCGTGGCGGACTTACCAGTATTTGCTTGGCTAGTACGTCTATGCCTTCGTTTGTTAGGATGTCGACGCTGCTGATGACGGCGTCGGCGTCATGGGGAGGGTCGTAGACGACTTCTTCGACTACGTGCTTGTCGGAGTTGCTGTAGGCGGTGGAGACGTGGACGAAGCTCTTCAGGTGTTTCATGTCTTCGCACAGTTCGAGGACTCGCTTGGTGCCGAGGGTGTTGAGGATGACTGCGTTTTTCAAATCTTCGTTGAATCTGGAAGAGATAGTAGGTGGAGTTGATTTGGCTGCGTTTTGAGTATAAAATAAAAAAAAAACTAACTCCTACATGTGATTTTTACATTGAAAATGGTCAACTTTAGAAGTTCTAGCAACTGAAATATTTGAAGTAAATTCAGACAAGTGGAAAATATATTTTTTAATTTGCCATTGAAGTATATAAAAGATAGAAGTTTAAAATTTCTGAAATATATGTCCAGCATTATTAAAGATTTATATATTTCAAATATGTTCTTTGTGAGTTGACTTTGAGTCCCTACATGTCCTAAGCAACAATAAAATAATTACAACAATTTGAGACAAAATTTTGAGAATGATAAAATATTCAAAAATGGTATTTATTTCAGGAAATTGTCAAAATTAACTTCAATATTTGTTCTTTGTGTTGAAAATCTTCAAATTTACGAGTTTTTTTGTTCCAGTAACTGAGACACTTAAAGTAAATTCAGACGAGTGTAAAACAAAAATCTATTTATTTTTTTCAAAATTTCAGTAGTACATGAAACATTTAAATTCAAAATTTCTGAAAAATGTGTCCAACACTTTTAATAACTGATATATTTTAAACGTCTTTATTATGAATTGTCTGTAAGTTCCTCATGGTGTAAGCAACAGTAAAATAATTGGCACAATTTGAGAAAAAATTTTGAAAATGACAGAAAATTGAAAACCTGTATTTATAGCAGAAAATTGTCAAAATTAACTTTTTTATTTGTTTTTTATATCGAAAATCGTTACGTTTATAATTCAGCAAATACAATGTTCAAAGTAAATTCGGACAAGTGTAAAATAAAAATTTATATTTTTTTCAAAATTTCCGTACAATTACATAAAACATAGAAGTTCAAAATTTATTTGTTCTTTGTGTTGAAAATGGTCAAATTTACGAGTTTTTTTGTTCCAGTAACTGAGACACTTAAAGTAAATTCAGACGAGTGTAAAACAAACATCTATTTATTTTTTTAAAAATTTTAGTAGTACATGAAACATTTAAATTCAAAATTTCTGAAAAATGTGTCCAACACTTTTAATAACTGATATATTTTAAACGTCTTTATTATGAATTGTATGTAAGTCCCTACATGGTGTAAGCAACAGTAAAATATTTGGCACAATTCGAGAAAAAATTTTGAAAATGAGAGAAAATTGAAAACCTGTATTTATAGCAGAAAATTGTCAAAATTAACTTTTTTATTTGTTTTTTATATCGAAAATCGTTACGTTTATAATTCAGCAAATACAACATTCAAAGTAAATTCGGACAAGTGTAAAATAAAAATTTATATTTTTTTCAAAATTTCCGTACAATTACATAAAACATAGAAGTTCAAAATTTCTGAAATATATGTCCAACATTATTAAAGATTGATATATTCCAGAATTTTTTTTGTGAGTTGACTTTGAGTCCCTACATGTCCTAAGCAACAGTAAAATAATTACAACAATTTGAGATAAAATTTTGAGAATGATAAAATATTCAAAAATGGTATTTATTTCAGGAAATTGTCTAAATTAACTTCAATACTTTTCGTTGTGTTGAAAATCATCAAATTTACGAGTTTTTTTGTTCCAGTAACTGAGACACTTAAAGTAAATTCAGACGAGTGTAAAACGAAAATCTATTTATTTTTTTCAAAATTTCAGTAGTACATCAAAACATTTAAATTCAAAATTTCTGAAAAATGTGTCCAACACTTTTAATAACTGATATATTTTAAACGTCTTTATTATGAATTGTCTGTAAGTCCCTCATGGTGTAAGCAACAGTAAAATATTTGGCACAATTCGAGAAAAAATTTTGAAAATGAGAGAAAATTAAAAACCTGTATTTATAGCAGAAAATTGTCAAAATTAACTTTTTCATTTGTTTTTTATATCGAAAATCGTCAAGTATATAATTCAGCAAATACAACATTCAAAGTAAATTCGGACAAGTGTAAAATAAAAATTTATATTTTTTTCAAAATTTCCGTACAATTACATAAGACATAGAAGTTCAAAATTTCTGAAATATATGTCCAACATTATTAAAGATTGATATATTCCAAAATTTTTTTTGTGAGTTGACTTTGAGTCCCTACATGTCCTAAGCAACAGTAAAATAATTACAACAATTTGAGATAAAATTTTGAGAATGATAAAATATTCAAAAATGGTATTTATTTCAGGAAATTGTCAAAATTAACTTCGATATTTGTTCTTTGTGTTGAAAATCGTCAAATTTACGAGTTTTTTTGTTCCAGTAACTGAGATACTTAAAGTAAATTCAGACGAGTGTAAAACAAAAATCTATTTTTTTTTTAGGTTTTAGTAGTACATGAAACATTTAAATTCAAAATTTCTGAAAAATGTGTCCAACACTTTTAATAACTGATATATTTTAAACGTCTTTATTATGAATTGTCTGTAAGTCCCTCATGGTGTAAGCAACAGTAAAATATTTGGCACAATTCGAGAAAAAATTTGGAAAATGACAGAAAATACAAAACCTGTATTTATATCAGAAAACTGTCAAAAGAAACTTTTTCATTTGTTTTTTATATCGAAAATCGTCAAGTATATAATCCAGCAACTACAACATTCAAAGTAAATTCGGACAAGTGTAAAATAAAAATTTATATTTTTTTCAAAATTTCCGTACAAGTACATAAATCATAGAAGTTCAAAATTTCTGAAATATATGTCCAACATTATTAAAGATTGATATATTCCAAAATTTTTTTTGTGAGTTGACTTTGAGTCCCTACATGTCCTAAGCAACAGTAAAATAATTACAACAATTTGAGATAAAATTTTGAGAATGATAAAAATTTCAAAAATGGTACCTATTTATTTCAGGAAATTGTCAAAATTAACTTCAATATTTGTTCTTTGTGTTGAAAATGGTCAAATTTACGAGTTTTTTTGTTCCAGTAACTGATATACTTGAAGTAAATTCAGACGAGTGTAAAACAAAAATCTATTTATTTTTTTCAAAATTTCAGTAGTAAATGAAATATTTAAACTCAAAATTTCTGAAAAATGTGTCCAACACTTTTAATAACTGACATATTTCAAACTCTTTATTACGAATTGTCTGTAAGTCCCTCATGGTGTAAGCTACAATAAAATATTTGGTACAAATTCGAGAAAAAAATTTAAAAAATGACAGAAAATTGAAAACCTGTTTTTATATCAGAAAATTGTCAAAATTAACTTTTTCATTTGTTTTTTATATTGAAAATCGTCAATTATATAATCCAGCGATTGCAACAATGTAAATCCGGACAAGTGTAAAATAATTTTTTTTTTCAAAATTTCCGTACAAGTATATAAATACAGAAGATCAAAATTTCTGAAATATATGTCCAGCATTATCAAAAACTGATATATTTCAAATATGTTTTTTGTGAGTTGACTTTGAGTCTAAAGTAGCAGTAAAATAATAGAACAATTTGAAATATAATTTTGAGAATGATAAAAATTTCAAAAATTGTATTTATTTCAGGAAATTTTCAAAATTAACTTCAATATTTGTTATTTCTGTTGAAAATCATCAAATTTAAGAGTTTCTTTGTTCCAGTAAGTGAAATATTTAAATTAAATTGAGACAAGCGTATTTTTTTTACAAAATTTCGTCAAAACTGTAGACAACTTAGAAGTCAAAAAATAAAAAATACAACAATGACGTTTTTTAAAATTATGTTTGTTCGGGTCAAAATTTCAGAAAGATCAAAAATTAAAAATTCGTGTCAAAAAATTTTCAAAATTATATTCTGCATTTGTCATTTTATTCCCAAAATCGTCAAATTTAAGAATTTCTTTGTATGACGGACTGTAATATTTAAAGCAGATTATTGGAAAACTGCACAATTTCTTTTTTTTACAAAATTTCCCGAGAAGTCCAAAATTAAAAAAAAACAACAATGACGTTTTTTAAATTATGTTTGTTCTAAATCGATTCTGGGTCCTCATGCAACGTAAGGAACAGTAAATAATTGAAATATTCGGGTAAAAATTTGAGAAAGATCAAAAATTAAAAATTTGTGTCAAAAAATTTTCAAAATTATATTCTGCATTTGTCATTTTATTCCCAAAATCCTCAAATTTAAGAATTTCTTTGTATGATGGACTGCAATTTTTGGAAAATTGAACGATTTCTTTTTTACAAAATTTCCCAAGAACTTTACAAAAGTTAGAAGTCCAAAATAAAAAAATAATACAACAATGACGTTTTTTAAATTATGTTAGTTCTAAATCGATTCTGGGTCCTCATGCAATGTAAGGAGCAGTAAACAGTTGAAATATTCTGGTCAAAATTTGAGAGGAACAAAAATTAAAAATTCGTGTCAAAAATTTTCAAAATTATATTCTGTAATTGTCATTTTATTCCCAAAATTGTCAAATTTAAGAATTTCTTTGTATAACGGACTGTAATATTCAAAACAGATTCTTGGAAAACTGAACAATTTTTTTTTTTACAAAATTTTCTTAGAACTCTACAAAAGTTAGAACTCAAAATTTAAAAAAACATCAATTAAGTTTTTTAAATTATGTTAGTTCTAAATCGATTCTGGGTCCTCATGCAATGTAAGGAACAGTAAATAGTTGAAATAAGTCTGGTCAAAATTTGAGAAAGGTCAAAAATTAAAAAATTGTGTCAAAAATTTTCAAAATTATATTCTGTAATTGTCATTTTATTCCCAAAATTGTCAAATTTAAGAATTGCTTTGTATAACGGACTGTAATATTCAAAGCAGATTCTTGGAAAACTGAACAATTTCTTTTTTTTACAAAATTTTCTTAGAACTCTACAAAAGTTAGAACTCAAAAATTAAAAAAATACAACAATTACGATTTTTAAATTATGTTAGTTCTAAATCGATTCTGGGTCCTCATGCAATGTAAGGAACAGTAGATAGTTGAGATATTCTGGTCAAAATTTGAGAAACATCAAAAATTAAAAATTATTGTCAAAAATTTTCAAAATTATATTCTATAATTGTCATTTTATTCCCAAAATCGTCAAATTTAAGAATTTCTGTCTATAACGGACTGTAATATTCAAAGCAGATTCTTGGAAAACTGAACAATTTCTTTATTTTACAAAATTTTCTTAGAACTCTACAAAAGTTAGAACTCAAAAATTAAAAAAAATACAACAATTACGTTTTTTAAATTATGTTAGTTCTAAATCGATTCTGGGTCCTCATGCAATGTAAGGAACAGTAAATAGTTGAAATATTCTGGTCAAAATTTGAGAAAGATCAAAAATTAAAAATTCGTGTCAAAAATTTTCAAAAATATATTCGGGAATTGTCATTTTATTCCCAAAATCGTCAAATTTAAGAATTTCTTTGTATAACGGATTGTAATATTTACAGCAGATTCTTGGAAAACTGAACGATTTCTTTTTTTTACAAAATTTCCCTAGAACTCTACAGAAGTTAGAACTCAAAAATTAAAAAAAATACAACATTTACGTTTTTTAAATTATGTTAGTTCTAAATTGATTCTGGGTCCTCATGCAATGTAAGGAACAGTAAATAGTTGAAATATTCTGGTCAAAATTTGAGAAAGATAAAAAATTAAAAATTCGTGTCAAAAATTTTCAAAAATATATTCTGGAATTGTTATTTTATTCCCAAAATCGTCAAATTTAAGAATTTTTTTGTATAACGGACTGTAACATTCAAAGCAGATTCTTGGAAAACTGAACAATTTCTTTTTTTACAAAATTTTCTTCGAACTCTACAAAAGTTAGAACTCAAAAATTAAAAAAAATACAACAATTACGTTTTTTAAATTATGTTAGTTCTAAATCGATTCTGGGTCCTCATGCAATGTAAGGAACAGTAAATAGTTGAAATATTCTGGTCAAAATTTGAGAAGATCAAAAATTAAAAATTTGTGTCAAAAATTTTCAAAATTATATTCTGGAATTGTCATTTTATTCCCAAAATCGTCAAATTTAAGAATTTCTTTGTATAACGGACTGTAATATTCAAAGCAGATTCTAGGAAAACTGAACAATTTCTTTTTTTTTCAAAATTTCCTTAGAACTCTACAAAAGTTAGAACTCAAAAATTAAAAAAATACAACAATTACGTTTTTTAAATTATGTTAGTTCTAAATCGATTCTGGGTCCTCATGCAATGTAAGGAACAGTAAATAGTTGAAATATTCTGGTCAAAATTTGAGAAAGATCAAAAATTAAAAATTTGTGTCAAAAATTTTCAAAATTATATTCTATAATTGTCATTTTATTCCCAAAATCGTCAAATTTAAGAATTTCTTTGTATAACGGACTGTAATATTTAAAACAGATTCTTGGAAAACTGAACAATTTCTTTTTTTTTACAAAATTTTCTTAGAACTCTACAAAAGTTAGAACTGAAAAATTGAAAAAATACAACAATTACGTTTTTTAAATTATATTAGTTCTAAATCGATTCTGGGTCCTCATGTAATGTAAGGAACAGTAAATAATTGAAATATTCGGGTCAAAATTTGAGAAAGATCAAAAATTAAAAATTCGTATCAAAAATTTTCAAAATTATATTCTGGAATTGTCATTTTATTCCCAAAATCGTCAAATTTAAGAATTTCTTTGCATAACGGACTGTAATATTCAAAGCAGATTCTCGGAAAACTGAACAATTTCTTTTTTTTACAAAATTTCCTTAGAACTACAAAAGTTAGAACTCAAAAATTAAAAAAATACAACAATTACGTTTTTTAAATTATGTTAGTTGTAAATCGATTCTGAGTCCTCATGCAATGTAAGGAACAGTAGGTAATTGAAATATTCGGGTCAAAATTTGAGAAAGATCAAAAATTAAAAATTCGAGTAAAAATTTTCAAAATTATATTCTGCATTTGTCATTTTATTCCCAAAATCGTCAAATTGAAGAATTTCTTTGTATAACGAACTGTAATATTTAAAGCAGATTCTTGGAAAACTGAACGATTTCTTTTTTATAAAATTTTCCTAGAACTCTACAAAAGTTAGACGTCGAAAATAAAAAAAAATACTACAATGACCGTTTTTTAAGTTATGTTTATTCTAAATCGATTCTGAGTCCTCATGCAATGTAAAGAACAGCAAATAATTGAAGCATTCGGGTCAAAATTTGAGAAAGACCAAAAATTAAAAATTCGTGTCAGAAAATTTTCAAAATGATATTCTGCATAAATTTGTCTTTTTATTCCAAAAATCGTCAATTTCACGAGTTTTCCAGAGTCTGCAACATTTGAAATAAATTCCTATAACAATAAATACTTTTTTTTCTAAAATTTCCGTATAAGTTTACAAAACAGAGAACCCAAAAATTTCTAAAAAAAATAAAAACAAATTTTTTGAGAATGACAGAAAATTAAGAATGACAGTCACACCCCTACTCACTTGACAGTAGCCGCCGAGTGAAACACCACATTCACTTGCTCCACCAGCTTGCTCCGATCGGCGTCCGCCAGCCCCAAATTCGGCGCCGCCACATCCCCCGCCACCGCCTTGACCTTGCTAAACGCATCCGGGTTTTTATCCCTAATCCGGTTAAAAACCGGATTCTTCAGCAGCTCCTTCACCCTCTGCTCGATCCCCATCCCCCGCTTGGGCCGCATCAGCAAATAAAGCACCTCCACATCCTCGCACGACCGCAGCAGCTTCTCCACCAGCGCTTTCCCCACGAATCCGGTGGCTCCGGTGATGAACACGGTAGCGTTCTTGTAGAACCCGGAAATGCTGGTGGACGTCAGCTGGCTGTTGTGGACGTAGTTGTTATTAAGAGGGTGGTCGGAGTTGAGGGTGTAGAGACGTTGCTGGAGCTTCGGTACACCCATTTTAATTTTTTTTGCTAATTTTGGTCCTGGAAAAATATAATATAAATTTAATAAGGGGTAAGGTGTTGTGTTTGTATTGTTCTTATTACTGTCATTCTTATTATTATTGTTGTTGGTGTGGGATTCGGTGTGTGGGTTTAGTGTAAGTTTGGGTATTGATTCAATTAGGAAAAGTGTGTTGGTGATTGATTTTTTTGTGGTGGCAAGGGTGGAAAATAATCCGACTATTCAAAAATTTCGCAGTTCAAGTTCGTGAAAGCAGCCAAAATTGGCTGAAGTCGACCTTGACTTATAATTATCTCTGGTGTCACGTTATCTTTAAAAGTAAATCGCTGTTTGTTGTGTTGAATAATCAGATTTAAATTCAGATTTTGTCGTTATGCTGACTTTGAAAAATTCGATTTTGGTTAAAATTCGGCTCAGTTTTCGTTTCGCTTTTTGACTGTAGCATTCAGCGACGAGCGCGACGCCGCCCGAAAACCCTTGTCGAACTTGTCGAATTTGATTTTTATTTTCCGAAGACGCGTTTTTGTGGCCGAATTCGTGTCCATCCCCCATGACGAATCGACTTTTTCGTCCCCCAACAGCCGCCAAATCGATCCACTTTTCAATTATGTAAACGTGATTCCCAGCGGCACGAACTGCACTTGCACCCCGGTCGCTTTCCACGAAACGCCTGTTAATTTGTTTACGAATTCCGCGCTTTACGGCCAGTTAAACACACTTGTTCGCCAGACTTACCGATTTGGTGGACAATGATCACTATCGAGCCACTGTGTACTTCCTCTGATTTTAAACTGAGGCAGCTGTGATAAACCACCCCCACTTGACCAGGCGGTCTGGCTGCGTCTCTGTCGAAAAGCGCGCCGTCTTCGTCGCTTCGCGGAGCGATAAGGCGTAAGTGGACTTAAATGCTTAGCCGGCTTAAGTCGCTAGTGACGTCACGGCAGCGATTTTCGAGAAGTGTTTGAATGGGGATTACGGTTGACGTCTGGTTCCTGAAAGGCGGATTCGGTGGAAGAAAAAATAATTAAATGGAGTTGGTGTTAATTGACGAATGTTTTTACACGCTGAATAAGTATTCATAAATGTGGAAACGCTCTGTAAAATTTGGAGCAAGTTCGAAAACGGAACCGTAAAATTAGAGTCTGTGAACTTGTTAATGACACTAACAGTTTGTGGGCCGGAACTCAGACCAAGGTAGATCGGAGTGCCATGTGAGCGACGATCAGTAAGCGGATTCAACTACTTAGTAATTATTACGTCAATTGAAAATTGTGTTACCGAAAAATTTTACTTTTTATAGCAACGATTAAAAAACGCTTAGTTTTAGTAATTTAAGCAACAAAAACTGACAAGTGTCTTTACACTTTCGGGACAGAGAACAAAGTCTACGTCATTTTTTATGAACTAATAATTGTAGCAGCGGAATTTTTATTTACGTAAGACGGATTTGGTTGTTTTTTTTTGTTAAAACGACTTAACTTTAAACACGTTGGATCAGAGTAAAAAAACTGCGTAAATAATTTCATCCTTGGATTTACATACCAGGAGGACGAATTAAAACCCACGTAAGACGTTGTTATTTCTTCGAAACTGCATTCTCTAGGCAGTAAAAGTGCATTTTTAAGATGCACTGAACCCGAGAAAGTACCATGTTCCGACTAGTGCATTAATGCAATTGTGATGATTGTGCATTGATCGTCGCCAATTACCCACCTTAATTCCAGGTAGAAATTTTAATGAAATTGTTGAAAGTGGTGTGGTTTTTTATCGTTCGGTCTGAATTTTTTTCTCGTACTAAAAAATTTTTGCCGCTTGAACTACAAACCTAGAAATGTTGTAAACTAAGTTTTGGAGGTGCGAAGTTGAAAATAAGTGTTTTGTTTTCGATAATTAAACAAGGTTTTGGTTAAGTAATTTGTTGTGTCAGTGCACTTAAAGTAATGTTGTGATTGATTAGTACAAGCTGAGGGTATTTGTTTGAGTAAGTATACAGTAAATTTTAGTTTTAGTTATCTGGCAAGTACACGTAAACAAGAAACCCGCATTTTTTGTTCTACAAGCTGCGAACACCTAAATAAAAGTTTTAATAAAAACTTTTATCGTTCTTTTGGTGTTTGTGGTGGATATAAAATTATGTATTTATACAGCTGTTGGTTATAAAAGGTTAATAAGAGTGTGATAAGAGTGACATAATCTGTATTGTAATTTTATGCACTTTTATCTCTAGTATAATTTATTACAAAAGGAATTTTTTTGTAGAAAATTAGCGTCTTTACATTTTATTATTCTTTGTAAATGCATTTTTGTGTAAACTGTATTTAAGCGATAATCTGTATATAAAGTGTGAGATGTGTGTAAAACTGTGTTTTATTGGGTGTCAGATTTGATGAAATTTTCTTATTTTTAAAAAAATTTGGAAGATCTTATGAATAAGTACAATTTTTGCCGAATTCTCTTTTAGTTTTTGAAAAATCATATTTACTTTTAATTTTGTATTAATAACAAAGCAACAAATTTGGTTTTCATTGCACGTCGATATTTTTCCTAAGAATTAATATGTACTTAGGTTTTTCATAAAAAGAAAAATTGAAGGTCTACATGTTATTTTAATTTTAAATTAGCCGCCAATTAGCAAGTTAATTTTTATCGTACGTCATTTACTTCTATTTTAAGAGTGTGGTAGGACGGGTTATGATGATTATTTATTGTATTGTTAAAAAAAATCGACTTGAGTTTGTTCAAGATAAGTGTGAAGCTGGCATTTAGTTTCAAACTTGTTTCAATTACAAATAAAAAATTTGGTCTTTATCGCACGTAGATATCTTTACTAATAAGAATGCTGTAAAACGATTTTTGACGAATTGTTTTTGAAAAATTTTTAAAGGCCGTTTTTACTTTTAATTTTGTATTAATAACCAAATAAAAAATTTGGTTTTCATCGCACGTTAATATTGTTATTGAGAACTACGTTGTGAAAGATTTTCGACGGATCTTTCTTTAATTTTTGAATTTCTGATTTACTTGTAATTTTGTATTAACAACCAAATAACAAATTTGGTTTTTATCGCAAGTTAATACCGTTATGTGTTTTACTTATAGAAAGAATGCGTTAATTTCAGTTTCAGGGTTTTAGCTTCTGAAATTTTAACTGAAGCTTTTGAATGGATAATTAGGAACGGTAAATTTCAGAATTAATGACTTTAAGATTTAATGTATAGGTTTCGAATTTTGGAATTTCCGAATTCATTATTTTAGGTTTCTGCGAATTTTTGGTTACCTAATTTCAGGTTTTAGAATGTTCCGAGATTGACAGTTTATGTTTTAAGGATTAGGATTGTGCATTTCGGCTTACGTAATTCCAGGTTTTATAATTTGAAAGTCCAAGATTTGAGATTTCAGGATTTTAAGGATCTCAATTTCAAAAATCTCAGGACTGATAACTGAGGTTTTAGCACTTAAGTAACCTGGATTTCAGGATTCACATCTTAGGTCTTCAGGATTGTAGATTTCGGCTTACGTAATTCCAGGTTTTAAAATATCAAATTCCAGAATTTAAAAATTTGACGTCTCAGGATTCAGAATTTTAGGAGTTTAGGGATTTCTAGTGCGAATTTCAAGATTAAAAATCTCAGGATACATAACTTGAGGATTTCAGGACTGTGGATTTTGCCATACTTAATGTGATTCCGATTTTTGAAACACAAAGTTCAGGATGTAAAAATTTGAGATTTCTTAATTCAAAATTTCAGGATTCTAGGGATTTCGTCTGTCGATTTCTGTATTAAAAATATTTGGATCCAAAACGTGAGAATTTCAAGGATTTTAGTGTTCTGAATTTTAGGATTCACAGCTTCAGGTTTTCAGGATTGTGGGTTTCGGATTATGTAATTCCAGGTTTTTGAATGTCAAAGTCCAGTATTTAAGAATTTGAGATTTCAGTTTTCAGAATTTTAAGATTTTTGGGATCTCGACTGCGGTTTTCAGTATTGAAAATCTCAGAAGTTATAAGTTTAGGATTTTAGGATTTTAATATTCTGGATTTCAGGATTCACATTTTAGATTTTCAGGGTTGTCAATTTCGGCTTACGTAATTCGAGATTTTAGAATGACAAAGTTCAGGACCTAAGAATTTGTGATTTCAGTGTTCAGAATTTCTGAATTTTAGGGATCTCTACTGCGAATTGCAATATTAAAAGTGTGAAGGTCTATAACTTGAAAATTTTAGGATTTTAGTATTCTGGATTCCGAGATTGACAGTTTTTGTTTTAAGGATTAGGATTGTGCATTTCGGCTTACGTATTTCCAGGTTTTAAAATATCAAATTTCGGAATTTCAAAATTTGAGGTCTCAGGATTCAGAATTTTAGGACTTTAGGGATTTCTAGTGCGAATTTCAAGACTAAAAATGTCAGGATACATAACTTGAGGATTTCAGGATTGTGGATTTTGCAATACTTAACGTGATTCCAATTTTTGAAGCCCAAAGTCCAGGATTTAAAACTTTGAGATTTCTTGATTCAGAATTTCAGGATTCTAGGAATTTCGTCTGTGGATTTCTGTATTAAAAATATTTGGATCCAAAACGTGAGGATTTCAGGATTTTAGTTTTCTGAATTTCAGGATTCACAGCTTTAGGTTTTCAGGATTGTGGGTTTTGGGTTATATAATTCCAGGTTTTTGAATGTCAAAGTTCAGTATTTAAGAATTTAGGATTTCAGGATTCAGAGTTTCAAGATTTTTGGGATGTCGACTGCGGTTTTCATTATTGAAAATATCAGGAGTTATAAATTCAGGATTTTAGGATTTTAGTATTCTGTATTTCAGGATTCACACTTTAGATTTTCAGGGTTGTCGATTTTGGCTTACGCAATTCCAGATTTTAGAATGACAAAGTTTAGGACTTAAGAATCTGTGATTTCAATGTTCAGAATTTATGAAATTTAGGGATCTCTGTTGCGAATTGCAATATTAAAAGTGTCGAGATTTATAACTTGAAAATTTTAGGATTCTAGTATTCTGGA